GTATCCGCAGAAGAAATGTGATACTGCCGCTAAATTTTACGTTACAATTAGTACAAATTTATTTATATATTTGTGTATTGTTTGATGGTGATCTAGGGTGTTGTCAAGTTTTCCGGAAAACTTTGTTGTTTTAAACACGATCAACAATAAAAGATACAGAAAAACGAGGACGTGAAAATATCCCCCCTGATATCAGTACATTTAAACAAAGTTGTGACTTACAGCTACAATCTACTGATTGAATGACATCACACAGGACACACCAAATTAAGTCATGTGCTATAACAGCCTCCTATTTTATATAATATCAGGAGATAGATGATGACTTACAGTTTGTTAAATAATAACCAGTACTGTAGCAACGCCTAGTTAAGATATTATATAGTCCATCTATATAGTGTAGTTATACTGTAGTAGTGTAGTTATACTGTAGTAGTGTAGTTATACTGTAGTAGTGTAGTTATACTGTAGTAGTGTAGTTATACTGTAGTAGTGTATCATAATGTTAGCTAGTGTATCATAATGTTAGCTAGTGTACCAGAATGTTAGCGTGTGTATCAGAATGTTAGCGTGTGTATCAGAATGTTAGCTGGTGTACTACAATGTTAGCTAGTGTACCAGAATGTTAGCTAGTGTATCAGAATGTTAGCTAGTGTACTACAATGTTAGCTATTGTATTAGAATGTTAGCTAGTGTACCAGAATGTTAGCTAGTGTACCAGAATGTTAGCTAGTGTATCAGAATGTTAGCTAGTGTACCAGAATGTTAGCTAGTGTATCAGAATGTTAGCTAGTGTACCAGAATGTTAGCTAGTGTATCAGAATGTTAGCTAGTGTATCAGAATGTTAGCTAGTGTATCAGAATGTTAGCTAGTGTACCAGAATGTTAGCTAGTGTATCAGAATGTTAGCTAGTGTATCAGAATGTTAGCTAGTGTATCAGAATGTTAGCTAGTGTATCAGAATGTTAGCTAGTGTATCAGAATGTTAGCTAGTGTACCAGAATGTTAGCTAGTGTATCAGAATGTTAGCTAGTGTATCAGAATGTTAGCTAGTGTATCAGAATGTTAGCTAGTGTATCAGAATGTTAGCTAGTGTATCAGAATGTTAGCTAGTGTACCAGAATGTTAGCTAGTGTATCAGAATGTTAGCTAGTGTATCAGAATGTTAGCTAGTGTACCAGAATGTTAGCTAGTGTATCAGAATGTTAGCTAGTGTATCAGAATGTTAGCTATTGTATTAGAATGTTAGCTAGTGTATCAGAATGTTAGCTAGTGTATCAGAATGTTAGCTAGTGTATCAGAATGTTAGCTAGTGTATCAGAATGTTAGCTAGTGTATCAGAATGTTAGCTAGTGTATCAGAATGTTAGCTAGTGTATCAGAATGTTAGCTAGTGTACCAGAATGTTAGCTAGTGTATCAGAATGTTAGCTAGTGTATCAGAATGTTAGCTAGTGTATCAGAATGTTAGCTAGTGTATCAGAATGTTAGCTAGTGTATCAGAATGTTAGCTAGTGTATCAGAATGTTAGCTAGTGTATCAGAATGTTAGCTAGTGTATCAGAATGTTAGCTAGTGTATCAGAATGTTAGCTAGTGTATCAGAATGTTAGCTAGTGTATCAGAATGTTAGCTAGTGTATCAGAATGTTAGCTAGTGTATCAGAATGTTAGCTAGTGTACCAGAATGTTAGCTAGTGTATCAGAATGTTAGCTAGTGTATCAGAATGTTAGCTAGTGTATCAGAATGTTAGCTAGTGTACCAGAATGTTAGCTAGTGTATCAGAATGTTAGCTAGTGTATCAGAATGTTAGCTAGTGTATCAGAATGTTAGCTAGTGTATCAGAATGTTAGCTAGTGTATCAGAATGTTAGCTAGTGTATCAGAATGTTAGCTAGTGTATCAGAATGTTAGCTAGTGTATCAGAATGTTAGCTAGTGTATCAGAATGTTAGCTAGTGTACCAGAATGTTAGCTAGTGTACCAGAATGTTAGCTAGTGTATCAGAATGTTAGCTAGTGTACCAGAATGTTAGCTAGTGTATCAGAATGTTAGCTAGTGTACCAGAATGTTAGCTAGTGTACCAGAATGTTAGCTAGTGTATCAGAATGTTAGCTAGTGTACCAGAATGTTAGCTAGTGTATCAGAATGTTAGCTAGTGTATATCAGAATGTTAGCTAGTGTATCAGAATGTTAGCTAGTGTATCAGAATGTTAGCTAGTGTACCAGAATGTTAGCTAGTGTACCAGAATGTTAGCTAGTGTATCAGAATGTTAGCTAGTGTACCAGAATGTTAGCTAGTGTACCAGAATGTTAGCTAGTGTATCAGAATGTTAGCTAGTGTATCAGAATGTTAGCTAGTGTATCAGAATGTTAGCTAGTGTATCAGAATGTTAGCTAGTGTATCAGAATGTTAGCTAGTGTACCAGAATGTTAGCTAGTGTATCAGAATGTTAGCTAGTGTATCAGAATGTTAGCTAGTGTATCAGAATGTTAGCTAGTGTATCAGAATGTTAGCTAGTGTATCAGAATGTTAGCTAGTGTATCAGAATGTTAGCTAGTGTATCAGAATGTTAGCTAGTGTATCAGAATGTTAGCTAGTGTATCAGAATGTTAGCTAGTGTATCAGAATGTTAGCTAGTGTATCAGAATGTTAGCTAGTGTACCAGAATGTTAGCTAGTGTACCAGAATGTTAGCTAGTGTATCAGAATGTTAGCGTGTGTATCAGAATGTTAGCTAGTGTATCAGAATGTTAGCTAGTGTATCAGAATGTAAGCTAGTGTATCAGAATGTTAGCTAGTGTACCAGAATGTTAGCTAGTGTACCAGAATGTTAGCTAGTGTACCAGAATGTTAGCTAGTGTACCAGAATGTTAGCTAGTGTACCAGAATGTTAGCTAGTGTATCAGAATGTTAGCTAGTGTATCAGAATGTTAGCTAGTGTACCAGAATGTTACTGTTAGCTAGTGTATCAGAATGTTAGCTAGTGTACCAGAATGTTAGCTAGTGTATCAGAATGTTAGCTAGTGTACTACAATGTTAGCTATTGTATTAGAATGTTAGCTAGTGTATCAGAATGTTAGCTAGTGTATCAGAATGTTAGTTAGTGTATCAGAATGTTAGCTAGTGTATCAGAATGTTAGCTAGTGTATCAGAATGTTAGCTAGTGTATTAGAATGTTAGCTAGTGTATCAGAATGTTAGCTAGTGTATATCAGAATGTTAGCTAGTGTATCAGAATGTTAGCTGGTGTATCAGAATGTTAGCTAGTGTATCAGAATGTTAGCTAGTGTACTACAATGTTAGCTAGTGTATATCAGAATGTTAGCTAGTGTATCAGAATGTTAGCTAGTGTATCAGAATGTTAGCTAGTGTATCAGAATGTTAGCTAGTGTATCAGAATGTTAGCGTGTGTATATCAGAATACTAGACACTACGGAAAGTGATCTGTTCTCAGTCTGTCTCAACTGTAGGTATTCAGAAAACAGACAGTGTGGAGTTCTTTGTATCAGGTTGGTGTGTACACGTGTAGGTATTGTTACTTGTCATAATGTGTGATAATGTGTAATAATGTGCGTGTGATTATGTAATTATGTAATTATGTAATCACGTGTAAGATTCACATTATTAGCATTTTTCCTTTAAATCGGCAAAACCCTGGCCCTGGTCCCTGCTCCTTCGTATAATAACTAATATTAGAAATCTATGGTGGAATGGAATTCGATTTTGCTAGTGCTGTTAGAGCTAAATGAGCATTATCAAAGTGAGGATGTGTCTACAGATGATCTGATCTATTAGATTAAATCTGGCACCCCTCTACTCAATTACTGATATTCATACACGTACATATTATCATACTGTACTGGAATGTGTCCAAAAGCGGGTATGACACAAGTCAGGTGTACGAAACTGAATTGGATTCCGGGGATAATTTGACAGGAGGGGTCGAATTCAGGAGACCCCAAAATAGCTCCTTCACAGTTCATTTGCTCTTTACAGGAAACCCAATCTAGGATTGTTTCATCTAAATTATCTGATAATATTCTCCTCATAGTTTCCACGGCCAAGGAACCACGCAAGTTAAATACTAAAGATTGAATAACAATAACGGTAAGTCTAGACTTAGATACACTATATTCTGGGAACTGTAGAACTAGAACAACCAACAAATAAGACTGACTCATATACACATAACACAACTGCAGTGTACCGACTTTTCACGTTATTAAAACATATACAGAAAACACAGATTAAACTGCACTAATTGGAAGTATGGTTAAATTCCGCATCTGTTTCTTATTGTTTCTATGGTCCCCCCTCATCGGATACTGAAGCAGTAACTTAGGCTTTCTTCTCGTCTAGCAAACAATTATTAAACAATGTTAAATGTAATTAGTATAATATATCCGATCTGTAAGTAAGTAACTAACGTCTGTATCTTCTTTCATGTTGAAATAGCATTGTCATTGTTAGTAAACTTTTATTCTGTAGCTGCTGCTGTAGCCAATTTAGTATATACTAAATGTTATATAACATTATCATTTAATCACTTATTCTTTTTGTGTGTAGGAATGCTGGATTAGCTCTCAAAGTACGAACTAACTTTCCAGTGAACTGAGTAAACATGAACTGGTCGGTATGTACACTAAAACATGGATTGCTTGCGGAGTACGGATTGCAAGTACAACGCCGCTGTAAAGCCATGAAACAGCAGAACAACTTATATAATATATATATATACAGTTATTATAATATGCTAATAAGTCTTAACGTAGGTAAATCACGCAGCAATATTATGTGTATTTGCAAAACATACTAAGTAAGATGCCCTCTGATTGCATATTATATTTCAAGTTGATTGAGCAAATTATATCATGACAGTTTCTTGTATTGCTAGTCATAAGCTTATTCCAACATGTTATAATGTATAAAATTTCCATAGGCTTAAATTATTCAAATTTCTGAACAACCGTGAACCGATACCTGTTTTATGGAATTTTGTTCTTTAGGACTATGTAATAGTAAACGTCTGGACTTTAACATTATACTTAAACTAGTTAACTGAAGATAACGATGATGATGTTTAAAATCTAGACAAAACTGAGCCGTAAATTTGTTTAATTATTTCCAAGTCTGTAAAATTTAAAGTCTAGAATTAAACGGTATTATCGGCATTGCGTTGTGTATCAGGTTTCAATCTATAATTATTATAATCGATACATTTGAAGTATTTACTATAATCGGCCAATAAAGACTTTAAGTAAATGATAACATCTGGCACACAAGGCACACTCTCACGAAACAACAGTGTAAGTTGAAGAAGTACCTTTTCTGACGACCTTTTAAAACGATATTTTACCATTTCCTTGGGATGATAAATGTCGGTTATCATAGGGAGGCGACACTGTACTGTCGGCACAGAAACGAGATAAGACAACAGATAAGCAGTCGGCACTCGGCAGCAAACAATGGCAAAAACACCACAACTTACCTTAAAAACAGGCTCAAAAACAGAACTTATAATGAAAACGAATACTGTGAAGAGCTAGGAATGTAAACGAATAGAACACAAAGTTTCACATTTCAGTAAGACATCCTGTGTTATCAGTAACCATCCTGAAAACAGTGGACACAGCACACCATGCCACTAAAACAGTGCCACTGGAATAGCCGGCCATTCAATAGTACCACGTGATGACCTACCTTGAAATATAAGGTATGCTTGAAAAAAATGGCAAATATGACCCAAGCTTAATTTTCTCAGCTCATTGTACTAGCAACCAATGTTAATATCTCGTGTACAGAATCATTACTGCCCAGGTAAATTTGTCCCCGTCAATAATTAGCACTTTGCTCAGCCATAACTCATCTACATAGCCACCAGGTTGGTATAATCTATCTCTCATCATCATGGGAACAGTTACTTAGTAACCATTGGTTACTTGGTAACCATTGGTTACTTAGTAACCATCTCATCTAGCTATAGGAGCTCGGTTGCGAGGGGTGAAGACCGTGGCGGGGTACTTAGACACAGTTTCCAGTATTTCATCGTCTCCTTTTGTTAGAAGATGGTTTATTACATCCTGAAAAGTAATGTTTGGTTATCATTATGATTAAGTATTTATAAACATTTTAAACAAATGTGAGGTTTGTTTCCAGCAAATAATTCGCCCATGTAAACCAGAGCGATATTAAATTATAAAGTTGAGTAACTGACCAGCTCTTTTTGTTCGACGTTGTGCACATTTTCTTGCATGTCTTTCACTACTGCTAATCTGAAATTTAATGTTATTTATCCCGTGATTATGTTTATTTAAATCCTCCACCTGACTTTCCAAAATAACATCTTTCCCTCAGCCTCTTGAAGGATTTTACCAAGATACGGACATTCATGACGCACACAAAAATAAAGATGTATCAACCGTGTCAACAGAATCTAAATCCTGAGTCCTCGTTCAATAATGTTCGTAAGCAGCTGTAACACCACAAAGACCAAAAGCCAAGGGGTATTTTGGGGTATTATGGGGGACCTTATTAGTTTTTATGGGGGACCTTACAATTAAATTCATTCCAAAACCAATTAAAGCATTCCCATATACCCCACCCCCCCCCCGCCCCCCACAAAATACTATCACATTTACCTGGACAGATTGTAGAGGCTGGGTATGTTACTGGACAGATCCAGTAGTTCTATACTCTCTTCCACTGTTAGACTGGTTGTTATCGCATCGTAGGCCCACTGGGGGATGTTCCGTCCTGTTACCAGGAGTCTGGGGGAGATATTGGGTTAGAAAGAGGTATATAATCACGTGATCATGGCCATGGGGCGGATGAGATAGACCTTGGGGAACATACATGGGAGGGAAAGGAGCTAGTTTAGATAGTGAGGGGTATAACATGGGTGAAGCTAGAGGTAGGATTAAGGAGTAAGGAGTAAGGAGTAAGGAGTAAGGAGTAAGGAGGTAGGAGTAAGGAGTAAGGAGTAAGGAGTAAGGAGTAAGTAGTAAGGAGTAAGGAGTAAGTAGTAAGGAGTAAGGAGGTAGGAGTAAGGAGTAAGGAGGTAGGAGTAAGGAGTAAGAAGTAAGGAGTAAAGAGTAAGGAGTAAGGAGTAAGGAGTAAGGAGTAAGGAGTAAGGAGGTAGGAGTAAGGAGTAAGGAGGTAGGAGTAAGGAGTAAGGAGTAAGGAGTAAGGAGTAAGGAGTAAGGATGCGTAAGAAAATGGCATTGCATATAAAAGAAAACAAATGAAAATGGGTCATGTTCTAGTACAGTTACGTAATATTCTCGCACAAATAGCGACCAAATACATCAGGCCGCATACCAATTAACATGTCCTCACAATTCTGTTCTTCTGTAAGATGGGCAAAGGAAAACCAGCCCATGTCCAAACCTACTAGCGGTGCACAAGTGAAACAAAAGTAGTTCGGCACGTACTGAAGTAGAGAAGAGAACTGCGAAAGGATATTCATTTAGATAAAATTTGTAATTTAGTTCGACAGGGATGAAAATTTGGAGAACTTAAGTTGTCGAACTACATTACGTGTCGAACTACAGTACGTACGAGAATCAGACAGGTAACGTGCGTGTAAAACAAACCTAGTAGCGGGCCACAAATAAAGAAATAAAACAAACCTATTCTGTACAAGGGGTAATGGGGTGTGCATATGTAAAACAGATTCCAGTTGAACTAACAAAAGCTAAAGACTACACAACAGACAATGTGGTTTCAGAGCCGAATCTCCCTCTTGTCTCAAAACGAACTAGACAGCGAGGGTTGAATCACCCAAATTAGCGCCACTATGACGCACAATAAATCCAAATTTTCACGTGACAAACCTAAATTTTCACGTGATTTAGACCCTGGGAGAAGCTGATCCTAAAATTAGCTCATTCTCCACCACATAAAGTTCAACCTATGCAAATGCCTAAAACGCCCGAATGTAAACCTTACGTGTTGCGACCGTTATCCTAATGATGTTACACAATAGAAAGAATATATAATACTCTTGAAGATCTCCCCTCGGCCTCCCCCCTCTCGCTCTCTCTCTCTGACTCCCTCCCCTCTCTCTCTCCCTCTCTCTGTTATGTCTTTGTCCAGTGTAAGAACAGTTTTACTAATTGAGCCGCCTCTTGTGGCAGTGTAATTGGGGAGGCATGTAGTGGTCTTTTAGTGAGAGATGGAGGGAATGGCTGGTTGAGACGATGTCATGTGACGGAGACGAGATGTCATGTGATAGATCACACCCAATCATAGTCCAGGTATCAGGGAGGTGTACATGTTACACGTGGATGGATACTGTATGTATTAAATAATTATGCGGTGAATATTCAGTAGCTATCTATCAAGAATTGACACAGCAAACTATACAGTGTACTTTTCAATGTCAAAGGGTTCTACATTTAAACCATCTAGACTTTGAACTTAGATAATTTTCTGAGTTGAAGTATAATGTAAAATAGCTAATATGAAGTAGAATTTACTATAAGTGGGGAGGTGAAGCATATTTGCTGACACGTGACACCTAATTGCTATTTGCTGCTTGAAGCTTATTGGCAAATCGTTGACACGTGTCATAAAGCATGCCCAATCTAATACTCTAATAGTAACATTTATAATCAAGTTTTTAGTAAGATAAGATATATCTGTCCAACCTACTTGATGATTTCTGTGTTTTTCGACTCTATAGCGATGGAGAGGGCTGACCTCCCATGTCTGTTTTTGTGGTATACGTCAGCTCCGTAGTGGAGTAACAGTGCTATAATGTGTAGGTTTGTGTTTCCTTGTTCTAACGCTGTGGTATTGTCGTAATAACAATCTGTTAGAAAAATAGATTCGATCTAATTACGTTAGAATGCCTATTTGTTCAACTCGTGTCATTTGATTAAATCAAGTAATTTCTGCGAACTTGAACATTTCTTAGCATTACTTCTACCAGATCAATTGTTCTATTAATCAAATTTATAATTTTATATTTACGGAGCTCAATATCATCCCAAGATTCACAGAGCTCAATATCATCCCATTTCGAACCTGCGATAAGTGGAGTATCTCCGTCCTCATTAGCAATGTTGACATCAGCAAACTTGGACAGGAGAATGTTCGCACAAATAAGCTTGTTCTGAGTATCGCTGTAGTTGGTAACGGCTGCTGCTCGTGCCATTCCTTCGCACTTCGCAAGCTATTAATGTTGGAGTTAATAAAGCTATTAATTGCGTGTTAGAATCTTGTTGATTGCGTGTTAGACTTGAATAACTTGATTTAAATGTTCATTCAATAATTATTAATTATTGTATTCTTCAGAAATTTGAATGAAGATGTCGTGAATAATTCATTGTAAAACGATTCAAGAGTAAAACGATTTTATTTAAGATACGATTTAAATAAGTAAACTTAAAAATGGCAGTTCAACCTTCTGCTCAAAAATCTGTTTGTAGATAAAAGAAATAAATAGTAGAACAGTCAAAGAGAACAGAAACACTTATTGAGAAAAATAATGGGGTTCACACTATTTTCTGTAAAGATTATTATTACTTTACAAATACAACTTCTCGATAAACTTTTCATAAAAAACACTTGAATATTAATAATAATGATGATTACAACAAATCCATTAGAACAAGTCAGGTGAAAAATACTTAGTAACATGCAAATTTGAAGAATGCATGTAAACAGTGTAAGCAATTATTATGCACACTTCTACAAAATTGACACAAAAATTAAGTATTAATTCTATGCTTACTGCGCATATTACTTTAAAATTACGGAAATAAATAAGTTGCAGCAAAATAACCTTATTTACGAGCGTAGATGCAACGACCAATGCCACTAATCCTCCACTGTGGTGTCACCATGGCACCAGCCAATAATGGCATCATGGTGGCTTTGGTCATTGCACCTAAGCCCTTATTTGCTGCTAAAATACGATAACTATGGACTAAACAAAAATGCAACATGGCCGTCTTGCGTGGCAAGTAACACGAGGACACATAATACCGCTAAAATAAATTAATAAGTTACACTAAGTTTGCTCCAGCAACGCATCAGAGGCCGCATGCAGTGCGTCGGACAGTGATGTTGGACTTTTAAACGGCTCTTTTTCCGGATCATTTTCCGTGTTGCTCCCTCCAGGGCCAGGGGTTTCTTCAGCAAATATTTCTGAAGGAAAGTCCGTGTCAGACGAAGCATTGGATCTTTCTCCTGCGGTAGAGGAGCGTTTTTTGGTTCCTGTTTCCGGTATTGAGTATTTCTGGTCGTCTGTTGGTTCACACTGTACACAGGCTATTTGGGGCTGGGTTGGTCCTGACTCCTCGGTCTTAACCTCCGCTGTTTCATCAGCAGTTGAACTCCTTGATGATTCAGATGCAGGTTCTTTCAGAGAGGGACTAGGAGAACCTTCCGAAGGGTTTGGAGACTTTAGACCGTTAGTTTGTGATTGATTAGAATCACTAGCAGGTTGAGGAGATGGCTGGGCAGATCCACTCTTTGGAGGACTCATAGCAGAAGGTGACGAAGGGACAGACAGTGGGGAGTTTCTAGTAGGAGGAGATTCAGGGACAGGCAGGTGGGATAGAGCGGGAACAGGGGAGGATGGAGCAGATCGTGCTGGAACAGGACTGGAGGGACCTTTAGCTGGCTGACGGGACGGCTGCAAACCAAGGGCACTTAAAGTAGCCGACACGTTGATGGGTTGGGAGGGGTTGGGAGGTGTGCTCAATGAGGAGGTTGTTGTTGTTGGTGCTATCTGACTGGTTGGAGGTTGGGAGGTCAGTTCGGGAGCCAACGACCTCCTTTGAAGTGAGGTTGTTACCAGGGTAGAGGTGGGCACACTTGTCGTTTTAACAGGACTGGGACCATCTATCACGACCACTTGTGGGGGTGATTTCGATTTCTGTTGAGAAATGGTGGGCGGCATTGGCCTTTTTTGGATGGACAACACTGGCCTTTTGGATATCTTGTTAACTAGCGATTTGAGAGCCGATGCATTGGTGTTTCCAACAGTGAGAACAGGTTTAATGTGGGAGCTGCCTATCTGGAGAGGGTACTGTTGTTGTGGTTTTGTTAGGGCTTGTGGCTTCGGTAGAGGAATACCTTGGGCCGATTGTAGTGGAGCAGATCTAGGCTGGGTCAACTGCAGACCACTTGCATTCGATGATTTAGAGGTTGACGGAGCCTCAACATCAATTATTACAGGGTCGTTGGTTTTAGTAACTCTAACAACAGCAGCGGAGTCTGACGTCATGCGTTGTTGCTGAAGTATTTGAGCGGTGACAGATCGAGGGCTCACTGGCTGAATGGGAGATTTTCCACTTGCTGACTGAGGAGCGTTGTATGGTGTTACCGATGGTAGCTTAGAGGTCTTAAACAGACTTATTCCTTTCAAAAACGAATTAGACACAGTCGGCACGGTTCTTGGGTTGTTGCTGGATAAAGGAGCTTTGGATGATGATGGATTGGAAAAAAGCTGGCGAGCTGCAGGACTTTTCTGCAGTTTGGAATTATTCAAGGCACTCCTTTGAACCATCTGTTTAGGTGAGAGGGCTCCTGATTTTGACAGGGGACTTGGTCCGGGAGATATTGAACTTATATCCGATGTTGCTTTTTGCAGGTCATTTGTTACCAACTTGACACATTTCTTGATCGAATCTTGGAATATGCTGGTTGAATCAATGGTACCTGCAGTGCGCCTTCGTTTTGCTAGGTTTGCAAGGTTGGCTGCTCTTATATTAGCCCCGGACATATTGTGCCTTTTTCGGCCACTTACAGTCAAGGTAGTACCTGAAAGGATTCGTCTGTTGGTACTTTGTAAGAATCTTAGACTATTTTAGAAAATAATTTTCCAGTTGATTATAAATATAATACAGGGTGGGCCAAAAGTCAGTGTGCAAACGTTGGGTCTTATACCTCCGCCGTGTTTTATATTTGAGAGCTGTTGCTTTGCAGATGGCATACAGTACTTACTGTACATACTGTACTTACTGGTTCGAGGATTCCGTCGTCAAAATTTGAAAATTCGAATATTTTAGACCACGTCCATTCAATATTAAAACACCTATATTGTTTTCTCTGAACATGCTGAACGCCTAATTTTTTCAGAGACGGTAGATTATCAAATGTTGCATATGATCTGAAAACATGAGGCAAAACGGATTAGAAATGACGAAGTTATCAAGCATTTTGAGTATCTCGTTAACAAAATTGACTGGGTGATTATGTGACACCGTGACACGACACCTTAATTGGGCACCCTTAACAATTCCCATAATGTTTAACGGGGTAGTTAACGGGGTCACCTTATCACGTGATTAGGTAAACCAATCACCTGATCACACGTAATGAATAAACTCGTTATGCTTCATATCTCGGTCATCTGAGAAGCTACAGTTCTAATTCTTTCAGGACAAACGTAATTCTAATGGCCAAACACTATTCAATAACATTTAGCTTGATCCGACTATCCAAACTATCAAATAAATGTGAAGATGAACCTCCATTTGAAAAAAATGAACGCGAATATTTTTCGAGTTGACAAATTCCTCGAACCAGTGGTGGTACTAAGTCATACCAGAAGGAAGTATTTCAATTGGGCACTCAGTGACTGAGCTATTAAGGCCAACGTTTGCACACTGACTTTTGGCCCACCCCGTATAATAGATCATTTTGAAGATGTTTTACTTCAACTTGCTACATAATATTGAATATTGGTATTAAAACAAAATCTAAGTTGAAGTCAGATCATTCGAATCAGTGCTAAACTTTAAGCTACAGGCAGGGGGTAAAACTTGCATGTTACTTTTTTCGAGCCAGAGTAAAATAAATCTCACCTTTATTGGAACTGAAATGAGCAGTTGCCTCAGTAACGCTTGATAAACATGAGGAGAATAAGCGGCTTAGCTTGTCACTTGCTTTGACAGCACCAGAACTATGGATTGTGGAGACTTCAAGCTGAAGAGCTTGTTGAGTATATCCATCTTCGTGCAACTGGCTGAAAATTGGCTTGATAATTATATCAAATAAAATGATTTTAAAAACCATATTATAAGTGCATAATTTTCAATAATATTTAGCTACTGCCAAACTGAATCGTTGATAACTTATCAATAAAACTGAACAGTTGTAATTCCACATTTTAAAAATAGTGTCACACCATGCCAGCGTTACACCAGTGTTACACCAGTGTCACACCAGTGTCACACCAGTGTCACACCATTTTTATACCAGTGTCACACCAGTGTCACACCAGTGTCACACTGCACCAGTGTTACACCACTTTAATACTTTCAACACTACTATATTACAAATAATTTGAGCCTGAAGATGGCGTTGACGCCGAAAATTTGCCCTTACTCCTAACTTCCTTGTTTCACTTGTCCTTGTCTCTTCCAACCGGATAATATCCAGATATCAGTATTTCAATCATGAGACTAATAAACAGCGAACTACTCCGTTATTTGATAGAGTGTTACACCAGTTTTACACCAGTTTTACACTCACCTTATCATCAGGTAGTAGAGATATTTCTTCTCTGGAGAGAGTATCCGCATGTTGACATACAAGCAATTACCTTAACTGAATTAAATATAATGTAAGTTTTGAATATATATAATGTAAGCTTCATAACATCGAAGTAAATCAGCTTTCGATCACAAGACTCAGTTATAAATTTGGATAATATTTGCCCTAATTGACTTATATAAGCCAACCCTTAATGCCAATTTTGATTAAAATAGTGATATAAATCTTCATTAAATTTAAATGAAAATTACCACTATTATTATATACTATACTAGCCATAATTATAAAGAATCATATTTTATCATTTAAATGTACATTCTTCATTGAATAAATAGAAAGTTAATTAACGTTATGGATTAATTGTACTGGCTTACAGATTTGTACCTTTCCCCCTTGATAATTTTTATTCATTCTTTTGAAAATATCATCATAATTACAGCATGACCTTTATATATCTTGCAAAAGATTCAATAAAAATGTCCAAGGGGGAAAGGTTCAAATTTGTAAGCCAGTAAAATTAAAGCCAGTACAATTAAATTCAATGAGGCAAGCTTTCTGTAACATTCACACAATAGCTATGTTGAAAATGGTGTATGTAAAATGTGAATGACTTGTAATTGTCATTCACATTTTAATGCAACAAGCATTCTGTAAGTTTCACACGATAGCTTTGTGGAAAATGGCACTGTACGTAAAATGTAAATGACAAGTCATGCATTGAAAATGAATATGGGGCACATGATTCCAATCTTATATTTGAGCTGAAAGGTTGTTCAATGTCATTAATCAAAAATATGGGTCACTTTCCAAGAAATATCTGAGCCTTATTAGTTACTACTGCAGTATTCAGAAAACTGTTTAATGTTACTGAACTATATTTTAAGAATTTAATAAATAAAAATAGGTTTAATTAATTGGATGTCATAAGATGAAATTTTAATGTTAAAAAGGTAAAATAATTTAATAATGTCATAAAAATTCAACTGTGTAATGTGTAATATCACAAGTCAAATAAAAAACTCGTTTGGTTCGCAACCATAACGAAAATTGCTTACAATCTAGTCTATAGTCTTTACAAACTTATTCGTGTACAATTTCAAAATCTTGAATAAATTTTTTTACTCCTGGTCTCTCTTTTACCAGTAACTGTTTTCTTTTGTGCATTTTCGACCTGAACTTTTCTTTTTTCTTTAGCTGCAAGATAAGCCTGATATTGAGGAGACTGAAGGTATACTGCAGAAGCTTTGCGATACTCTACCCTTTCAGCTTCATATGGATCGATATATTTTTGTTTTTCTTCATCATCCAAACTTGTCCATTTCTGTCCGATCATCTTACCAATCTCACCAAACTTTAATTTAGGATTATCCTCCTTCATTGCTTTCCAAGCTTGATTGCAGAATCTCAAATAAGGCATCTTTGGCCTCTCAGGAGGTATTGGTAGCTGTAACTATGTGTATGACATCCTAGGATGACAACTGGATATTATCATCATGGTACATGGATTGAACTTTCCATTTGCAAATTTAATTTACAATTCTTGATGTAGGTAAAATGTGTGTATAATTTTCCATGAGCTGGATTGTAATTCCTCAGATTGAAATTAAGTCACTTTAGATTGTACACACAATGTGTTTCAATGTGAACAATGTGCTGTAAATTATTTGAAGAATATTTGGTCTCAATTATGCTCATCGCCAGCTCAACTAGCCCCAGTCATTCTGCCTATCTCATTGTAATTTAATTTAATGTATAAATCAATAGAATTGCCCTCATAGAAGGTTTCAACCTACATTTTCAATAGTCACGAAACTCAACATTATTTGTGTAAGGCAACGTTATTATATACTGTTGTTAATTGCGCTATACATAATGATTTTTTTTTTTGATTTTAAACTTTCACAAAATAGCAAAATATATACAAATGTACAGCAAATCGAACAAACATATAAAATGGGCCGAAATGTATAAATTATGCTATAAAGCGTGGGTCAGTGAAACAAGTACTGAAGACAACTTACAAAACACAAGTTTTATGGCTATAAGGTCATGGCCTGAACTTTAATAGTCAAGTGATGCTAAAGCAGAGCACAAATATGTAATAAGTTAATAGATAAAAATACTGATTCAATGATTAAAATTATAGCTGTGAGTGTCAGGATGTTACTGTTGCAGACCGTATCACTTGCACTGCTCTGTTGTACAGCTGCACTGTAGTTCTGAATCCCAGACTCCACCGTTGTTTGCACTGTCATGTCTCCTTAACCGATGTCTTAAACAACTGTAGTTCTTTGTCCTTCTGCACAAGCAGCTGGCTCTGCAGCCTGATCACCTTATCGTTGTCTGCTAGCGCTTCCGCTAGCAGACTGATTATCAGGGAAAAATCTGTGATGATATCCATTTACAAAGCTTTGATAAGACCCCATTTAGAGTATTGTGGTCAATTGTCGAGTCCGGTTGCGGCTCATGGAAGTTGGGGGATCATCTTGGAGCTGGAGAGCGTCCAGTGTAGAGGCGGTTTACCCGTCTGATTGACGAGGTGGGTACTCTTCCATACAGTCGTCGACTGGAAATCCTCAATTTAACAACGCTGGCAGAGCAGGGAATACGTGGGGATCTCATTGAATCTTATAAAATGATAAGTGGTTTGGTCAAACAGTAGATACAGTAAAAGTAGCAGTAAAATAAAGAAAGTCCACAGTTCTTTTCTTCCGGAGAGGGTGAGACCATATTGGAACAAACTCCCCTCGGATGTCAAGAATTGTGGGACTGTGTTAAGTTTTAAAATAAGATTAGAGGCTTTCAAAAAAGAGACTATTTTAAACGGATCTGTAAATGATAGTCATTTTTGGCATGTTTCGGACGAAGTATTAGGAAAGATCGAGGGATTAAATTATGCTACTAATAAAGAGAAGCACAATGAATATCTTGTGTGGAATCCTCATGTTGCTAAAAAACGTATGTAAATTAGATTCATTTTAACTTGGTTGTTTAGGCCAATAGATTTAAGATAGTTTTTAAACTTTAGTAGATATATTTTTGATGATTAGATGTGCGATGATGTTTGTGTCATTATATTTTGATTTGATTTTATTTTGATTTCCGTCTTCAAGAAATATATGATCTCTTCCATTTCAGCAATCTGGCATTCATGCGGTCGAACGAGGTCTATTGCTTCCACAAGCCGGAGTGCCAGATGCTTTTTATAAACAGTTGGAGCCATAAATATTTCGCTGTCCATTTCTCCACAAATATCATCGTTGATGATGTTCAGTTCTTTTCCCACAACGTTGTCAGACCTCAGCAGATGGTTTGTCTCCTCTCTTATTTCTTTTTTTTGTCCCCCTGCATCATTTCCTTTTCCTTTGCTTCCCCCTCTTTTCATCTTGTTACATTTCAGCTTATGTTAAGATGCCACTGCAAACGCAAGGGCTCTGAATAAAGCAAGCGCGCTACTGCAAGCGAAAAGGCTCTGGTTAGAGCAAGCGAAAAAATAAATAATAAATAAATAAAATATAGATAACGTCAATTTTTTTAAAAAGCTGCAATGAAATTTTCAATTTTACAACTTATCGATAGTTTACTTTGTACTTTGTTTAATAGTTTATTTTAAAAGAAAAAGCCCATGGCCGAAAATTTCCGCGCAAGTCAGGGATGGGCGCTTGTTTCACCTAACCATGTGCTTTCGCTTGCTCTAACCAGAGCCCTCTCGCTTGCAGTAGCGCGTGACCGCCGGAGGCGGCAAAGATCTATCCTACTTGTGAAACAAGCGCGTCACGCAGTACGCGTAGGCACTTGGCTATGTGAATGCTTTCGCGCCACTGCGGGCGCGTTTGTTTCACAAGTCAAGAAAATGCTATTGAAAACAATCATATCTTGGCAACCCTAAAAATATGAAATGCAATGACCAAGGACAAAGGTGGTAGCTCAGTTTAAAATCTTTTGGAGTATAGTATAAAAAATCAAATCAAATCAAAACATAATGACACAAACATCATCACACATCATCAAAAATATATCTACTAAAGTTTTAAAAATATTTTAAATCTATTGGCCTAAACAACCAACATAAAATGAATTTAATTTACATACAAGTGCGCGTTACACGTTACTCCATAGCACTTTTTAGCGCAAATTCTTTGATTAAAGCTATATATATATAAAATACGCACCTGGTTAATCCCGCTTCACTTCGCACTTCGACAAATAAATATAATGCCAAATGGTTGTATGTAGCGCGAAGCGTTAACTGTGCCGCGCCGCGCACTCAATGAGGCTTCTTTCGCTAGATCGGCAAAATGCGCTTTTGTGCCTCGCCGAGCTGCGAAGAATTGACATCGTCAATTAACCAAATGGTTGCTTATGCAAAGCAATGATTTGAAAGGGTTGGCATCGTAAATCAAATAATTGACTAAAATGTAAATGTTTTTAAGAATATTTTGAACATTTTTATTTGAAAATTATGCATAAGACGCAATAGCACTCAGATATAACTTGAACCTAAGGATTGCCCTAAAACATGTACGTGTGGCCAGAAATATTCAGCAAACCATGCGCTCATCTGCAAACTTGGTGGATATGTGTCACTGCGGCACAACTCGTTGAGAGACACTTTTGCAGAACTAATGAGAACTGTGAAATGCAAGGATGTGCAGACTGAGCCAAGAAAACAACAATTTCAAGAAAACAACAATTTTATTTAGTATCAATTAAAGCAAACATAAATATATTTTATATATAACTAGCAGGACCTTTTTACCAGATATCTTAGGGGACTTGGAGTAGCAAGAGAATGGATAGAAGGTATATACCTAATACAAAAATACGTCAAAAAGAATCCAGGGTGATACAGGATCGGAGAGTGCAGACCGTAAAGTTTACGCACCCACCCTTGACTCCTAAATTCTTGGTTGGGTAGGCATTTATGCGAACTTGGTCGTTTATACTCCAAGTCCCTTTGTTAAAAAATTAATAAAATTTATCTCAGGAGTTAACTTCATTCAACAATAATAATATCAATATCAATTTATCGCATAAATTTAACTATCGAATACAGGTTTGATTATCGAATATAGGTTCGATTATCAAATATAGGTTCGATCTGATATAAATTTGTAAAATAAAATATTTAATTATTAAAAACATTACATCAAGTGGTTAAAAATGGATCTGAAAGCTTATCAGCTTATAGTTCAATCATGATAGTAATATTAGGTGTGTGCTGCTGCATGTGCAATTTAATTACTGCAATTTAAAATTGGTTGGAGTCCAGGTATCTTTTAAGTCAGCTGCCTGTGATTGTACTAATAGTGCTTTGGTTCTCAATTTTATCAAGTTAATGGAAGTTTCTAGGCAATTGCTTGAAGTTAAAATTTTTTTATGAACTGTGTTCCAAAGCTTGGCTGCATTAAACAAAAAGGTATTTGATTTATTTAGAAGAATAACAGTTAGACTCGTTGCACGGTTTGAAATGTTGATGGCCTCATAAAGGGAGTAGGGGCAGTGGTACTTGATAATCTTAGAGAATTCTAAAATGCAGTGATATTTGTACAAGTTTTGAGCCGTTAGAATTTTTAGTCTATTAAAAATGGGTTTTGTATGCTCCTTTTCAAAGTGTTTATGGTCTAATTTTTGCATACCATACGGTCTAGTACAGCCAGTTCTTCTTCCAGTTGATGGTCTAGAGTTGCCAAGGGGAACAGTCCTAGGAGACCAAGCTAGGCTGGACATTTCTGCAAGATCGATTTGGAATGCTTCAGAGAGGGCATATTTTGATGTAAGGGTATTCCATGCCCCAGCCCCCTCCAATGCAAGCAAATCGATCCCTGCAATGTACCAGTTTCATGAAAATGAGAAAAAACGATGTTACAACTCAAGAGTTCTCGAAGTGGAGAAAGGAAGCTTCACACCGTTAATTTTCTCGACGTTTGGTGGAATGGGTGGTGAAGCTGAAAGACTAGTGAAGAAGCTGGCTAGTAAGATGGAGTACCACACAGGTCAAAGGTATGCAGATGCTGTGGGATATATTAGGAAGCGCCTTCGGTTTGAAATCTTGAGAACAACGGTGATTTCTCTCCGGGGAGACAGAGGGGCAAGAAAGAACTTTGTCAATATAGACAGTTTAGATTTGAACTTGGAGCCGCAAGGCCAAGGGTGATTTTCAAAACTTTGAGTTGTTGAAGGGTTTAGTTTTTTCTTTTTATATAGGGTCATTGTGACATTGTATGTGGACACGTTCATTTGAGTTTGAGGATATTGGTAAATATAAGTGACCCTATTAAAAGGCACAGTGTAGTTGACTTTGTCACACTATGAAATTACATAAACCCTTGATGGTTAGGATAATCGTCTCATCCTTCAGGGCTAACTTTGTCACATAACGATATCTTAATCAGGTGATAAGATATCGCTTAAATACGGCCGGCACGGAAATGGTTACATTGTCACACTATAAACATGTGACGGAGTAAATATGGACCCCTTGCCGCCGTTTATGACCAAATTTTGGGTGTCCAGTTGATTGGATGGGTACATATGACCATTACCTACATATTTGACGAGTTTTTTTCGTTAGATGGTGCACTCAGGTTTACTCTGTCACACATTAAAGAAAATATGTGATGAATGTTTAGGGCACCCTCATAAGCAATGCTGAGTAATGTAGGTTTATTTGATGGCCTGGAAGTGCTGGGAATTGTTATTATATCATATTGTCGTAAAGAATTGAAACACAGAAGGCACAACCAAGTTTACTTTGTCACATAATCTTTATGATATCTGAACATGTGTGAAATTGAACAAATAATGATATACCAGCTTAAACCCCTTATATTGCGTACTATCGATCAAACAACACTGCTAGTACCATGCACCAGTCACATAAATCATTATCAGGTGGTAATATGTACAGTGTCACAATTAAACTACCGCAACATGGTCAAAAATAGGGTAATTTCGTCACAAACAAAATTATTATAACTCTGTTACTCTGTTAGCTCCTTGGTGGCAAAATAACTAGTTTATCGAAATTTTTTTGATGATAAGTTACATAGTATTCTAATAGAGGTATAGATCTTCAAAATAGGGTCAAGACATGTTTACTTTGTCACATTAGTTATTATAAGAGTTAGGTAATCGTCATCAGATTAACAGATCTTTTTCGTAGTTTGGATCAATTAATATCGGCAATAAAGCATCATATGCCAATTTTAACACACTATCTTGATATTGTTGGGGCAGGGAAAGTTAATTTTGTCACATTTTCAGTTTCTTTGACAATTTAATCTAAAATTGTTAAATTGAGCTCTGATGTTCTGGACAATATTCTTCCAATCGTTTTTGAAAGAATGTTGAATTCTAATGGAGTTATAGATCTTCAAAATAGGGGCAAGACATGTTCACTTTGTCACATCAGTTATTATAAGAGTTAGGTAATCGTCATCACATTAACATATATTTTTTTGTAGTTTGGATTGATCTATATAGATAATAAAGCAGCCTATGCTAATTTTTACACTATCTTGAAATTGTTAGGGCAGGAAAAGTTAATTTTGACACATTTTAGTGACTTTGACGAATTTAACCTAAAATTGTCAAACTTAAGCTCTGATATTCTGGGACAATATTCTACCAATTTTTTCTGAAAGAATGTTGAATTCTAATAGAGTTATAGAATATAGATCTTCAAAATAGGGGCAAGACATGTTTACTTTGTCACATCAGTTATTATAAGAATTATTATAAGAGACTGTTTTATTCTATATTCATGTTTTTTTAACTTATTTACGATTTCGTATCAATTTTGTGACAATGTAAACATCAACTGATCTTAACTTGCATCAACTACATTGTCATCATATAAAGTTTTCCCGCCTTTCAAACCAAATCAGATATAAATAATCCGCAAAAATGTAAAATTCCATATATTGTGACAGAATTAACCTCATTTCCCAATAACCAAGTGCCTATTATATTAGCTAACTATTCAAAACAACATATTTTAGGGCTATGATTGGTAGATCAACCATCAGATAATGAGTTTAAGGGTTTTTTAGGACACCTCACAGTAGAATAGAGGTATATTATTCTGAGTGTGACAAAGTTACCCAAATATTGCCTTGTAACCGTTCGATCCGTGCCCTTTAACCAATGTTGTATCATAATGTTAAATTGACCTAATCTACTATATTTTAGACCAAGGAATGATAATTAGACAACTGCAGTTAACTAAGTCACACAAAATGTGACATTTGAAGCATTATAGTACCTAACAACAATAGATTTTCTTTCTGAGCAGTGCATATGGGAGTATGGGTTACGTGGCTAATGTTCAGAACTTCTGAACGTGCTAGGTTAATAGATGTCAAAATTAAGCCGCTATCGTCGAAAACGCTATTATTTTTGTTTACCAATATCCTCAAACTCAAATGAACGTGTCCATGTATATTGTTTGAATAATTTATTAAAAAATAAAATTATGCATAATGAAAATATTGTTTGATTTTATAAAATGTTTGTTTTTTTGTACAAATTAAGATTGTATAATGTACGTATGGCTCATTTAAACATTGTTATGATTTGAGTATGGTGCTTGTCCTTAAAAACATTTCAACAGCTGGATCCGAATTGTTGAAAAACGAAACAATCTTTTTGTGTGCTGCGCACTTAAAATCTTCAAAAGAATCGAGCGCTATTATATTTAAGTAAGCTGCAAGCTGAAGCATTATTATGACACTTTATAGGTGTGGATTCTCATGGGGAGGTGAGGTACATTTGTTTACTTTGATAGTTAGTACCCTTGTAACACTTGTAACTCCTTCTTATTACCCCCCTTTGCACAGGGAGACTAAAGTGCAAAGAAGCTGCTGCTAACTGCTGCTAACTGCTGCTGACTGCTGCTAACTGCTGCTGTCGCGTCAGCAGCAGTTAGCAGTAATTGCGCGCGGTGTGTGCTGCGCAGTAAAGACACGCATAAAATTGCTGCTAACTGCTGCAAATGGCGCGCGCGACAGCAGAAGTTAGCAGCAGTCAGCAGCAGTTAGTAGCAGTAAGCAGCAGTTAGCAGCAGTTAGCAGCAGTTAGCAGCAGTTTCTTTGCACTTTAGTCTCCCTGTGTTTGAAGGTCCCGAATTATATTCTGAACGAAAGCTTAAAAATGTCCGATAAATCGACCTTGATATTAACTCATAATTTTTATGACTGTTCTTGATCTAAAATTGCACGCGAAATCGTGCAACCTTTGCTTCCTTCTTCCTTTCAGTATCAAGCCTGTATTGTGGAAATATATTATCTGAAATTTGAAGTTGAGTATTTGTAATGAGAAATATTGACTGTAAATACTGCTTATCTTATCAACCTGATACTATTCTGCTTTTAGGAAGTTAGAATGTCTGGATATGATTTGAGTAGATGAGTATTATATGTACACAGAATACTGATATCCATGGCAGACATAGGTGTTCTTATCGATGATGACTACGTTGGAATCAATGATGAAGATTGCCAGACTATTCCAAGTCAGTGCTATACAACAATATCCAAAGGAAAAGGTAAGAGAATATTAAACAGTTCTTGGTTTTATGTCACTGCATTGATATCTCCTGACCTTAAATGAAAACACTGTTAAATAACAATATGTAATCTGTTGATTGATAGCATTGATTGATAGCATTGATTTAAGTCTTAATATCTATAAATCACAATAATCTTGCTTATATTTCAGTTCAACAGACAGATTCTAAATGTGCATACTGTTGTTGGAAAATCACTGAGATCCTAAAAGCGTTTGTCCTTCCTTTGATCTACACATTAGTAGTAGCAGGTATATCATGTTTCCATTTATGAAACCCTGCACAGACCCCTTGGCCTTACATAAACATATAATATATGGATTATTTATTGTAATCCGTAGTTAAGATATGCTTGCAATTTGTTCCATCATTAAATTACTTTATCTTGCCACTGTATAAAATAATTGTCATCCCCGCCCTTTATCATATGTGATACAGTTCACATCTAACTTATTCTATTGTCAAGGTTGTGGGGTTTACTGTTGGCAGATCTTATCTAATTACAGCCACTCTCTTCGACATCCCATAGAAACTTTGTCATATGTTTATGTGAGTAACCATAGTACTGTGCTGTTAATACTCACTTAATTTATAATTATAATAATCATTGAGTTTTAAACTATTTTCACAACTACAATTAAATACATTTATTGAGATTATGTGACTGATTAAATGCTGAAGATAAAAGAAATATATTCATTTTGCTAAGATTATGTTTGCGTTTCATTGCTCAACAGCTGTTCGAAGGATCAAATATAAGATAATAATCATTCATTAGGGAATGTCAACTTTATTTGAGCTTGCTCCAAATTAAAGAATGGTGTAACAAGCCTTAATTGAAATTGGTCTTGAATTTCAGACAGAAAAATATGAGCCCCCGGGAATTGCAGTGTTTATGTTTGACAATGCTACCTTTGTTAAATGTGAGAAGAGCTTCTATTACGATACTGAAAAATTGTGAGTAAAATTACTTCTCCTATTTCAGTTTTATTGTATAGTGTATACATTATACTTGATTTAAATAAAATACTGTTTAAATTTGAAGTAAATTTTAAAATTTAATGACCTACTCTATATCAGGAAAAAAGGACAGAAGCAAGATAGATGGAAAAGGGATCGGAAAGGCAGAGGACAGACAAGTTTGTCTTCTTTAATGAGATTTAACAAGGATATAGAAACTCAGCCTTGCTTGGTAAGCAAGTTTCATCGACAACGCCGATCTTAGGGTCATGGTTCACCGTTAAAAATAACACTATATATAATGAAGAAATTTTAATTTTGTTCTTCTTTTAATTATAATGTATTGAGGTACTGTAGTTACTTGCTAAACTTGAATATTCACCACTGTTTCAGTTCTCAACAATATCGGACTACGAGAGTATCATGGCTCGTCAGAACACGAGTATGATGGTATTTCAGGGTCCTGGTAATGTTATGAGACGAGAGCACATGAAAATACATTTCAAGTACGTTAGTTTCAACCTTGTTAACTTTACATTTTGTTAGAAGAATTTATATTTTCTTAGTAGAGTTTCATAACCAGTGCAGTGAGTAGCGATGGTTACCTGAGGTTACTTATTAAAAATGCTTGTTATAGTACATTATGATATAAATTCTTCTTTTGGCAGAGGAATGCTTGTCTCGTGCAACATTCTAAGATATCCAGTGAATCCACGTGTTTTGATATGCTGGAATTAAAACAAGATACATTTACAAATACGTCTTGTTGCAGGGTAGATCAGCAAAAAATAGACCCTGATATAGGTTTTCTGGAGTATTTTCCTTTTGCTAACTTCTCCGAGTGGACTAACGATTTTAACTCTTCCCAAACTTACTTACAGGTATGATATCAGGCGGTTTTAGAGATTTAGTTGAATGAATGTTATTTATTTATTTACTCATAAAAGCACCTACGATAAGTTAATATTAATAATATAATATTACTGCATTTTACCGCATTTTGTAACCTGAACCAACTTTCTGAATCTATATGATAAATTGATAATAATTAACTGTTCAAATCAAGTACTTTACTGTAGGATCGAGAGCGATTACAAGACATTTGGCCGCTAGCTATGGGGTTCACAACCTACTCTCGCCTTTCAATACGAGTGTTCAAAAGTATGGATATTGATCATCTTTCAGGTAATATGGTGTTTTCACTTATCATTACTAATTGCGTAAATCGGTAAATTTCTGCCGCCTGCCATAGGTAAAAAATACATGAATTATTGAAAAAACCCTAAAAAATTTAATCTTAGGAATTCTCTAGATCATGGTTTTCAGTCCAGAATATCCACACTATCAAAGAGAAGCTTAGCCGAGCCCCAAATATGTAACTAGTAAGATATTTATTAGTGATAAACATTAAACAAACAACAATAATTTGTATTATTTATATAATGTTAATATTTCAGGTAACAATACATCAGCCTCCACAAACAGACTAAATGACCACAGAACTATCTTCAACCCAGTTAATGACATAGTCAAGTTCCTGCCCCCCGATACTGCTAATTACACGCCACATTATGAGAATATGTTCGCTATATTCGAGTGGAGGGACAGTGAATATGAAGTACGTATATCTGTCTGTCTGTCTGTCTGTCTGTCTGTCTGTCTGTCTGTCTGTCTGTCTGTCTGTCTGTCTGTCTGTCTGTCTGTCTGTCTGTCTGTCTGTCTGTCTGTCTGTCTGTCTGTCTGTCTGTCTGTCTGTCTGTCTGTCTGCCTGCCTGCCTGTCTGTCTGTCTGTCTGTCTGTCTGTCTGTCTGTCTGTCTGTCTGTCTGTCTGTCTGTCTGTCTGTCTGTCTGTCAAAGTGTCTGTTTACATTTGTCTGTTTATGTGTATTGTGTACATGTGTGTGTCTGACGCATGTGTGTACGTATGTCTGTGTGTATGTATATCTGCTGGTTATTAAAGCTTTAAAGGTGGTCTCAAATTGAACATTTAGTATCTAATTACATGGCAGTTGTTGTGTAGTCATAATTATATCAGATTCCGTATGTGACCCCATGCGCTGTCGTGACTACCGTATTGTATTTCAGTGCTATTTTGAGTGCACTCTTTAGTAATACAAAAATGGTAGTGAATTATTTAGTTATCAGTTCTTAGTTCACGTGAATCTAAAAGCAAAAGTCCTGACTGTAAGGTAAAGACTAAAGGGGTGATATTATGATTAATGACTTCTGTTATTCAAAACTACATTGTTTTTCAGGTTATTGAAGATGTTGTTACAATGAATCTAGTAACTACAATCGGTTTAATGGTTACTGCAGTCCTAACTTTACTCAGAATGATGGATCTTACCAAGGTATGTTTCTCATTAATAGTGTCACGTGATATGACGTCACACTACAATCGGTTTAATGGTTACAGCAGTCCTAACTTTACTGAGAATGATGGATCTCACAAAGGTTAAAAAATCAACTTTTATAGTGTGAATCTAAAATGTAAATCCCCTCATTTGTCAGTTATGTGAACTTAATATAATGTATACATAATGTGACATAAAAAACAAAAGCGATTTGAGAAATATTTCACGCACTTCTGAATGGAATGCTGATTGCTCTTGTGACATTCGTGTTATGGTACAACCGTTACCTATCTCTTAGGTATTGTTACACAACATGGGCTAGGTTCACTTGAGGCATACAGTTCACGTACCAGAGTAGCACTTCCAAGTCACGTACCAGAGTAGCACTTTCAAGTCACGTACCAGAGCAGCACTTCCAAGTCACGTACCAGAGTAGCACTTTCAAGTCACGTACCAGAGTAGCACTTTCAAGTCACGTACCAGAGCAGCACTTTCAAGTCACGTACCAGGGTAGCACTTTCAAGTCACGTACCAGAGTAGCACTTCCAAGTCACGTACCAGAGTAGCACTTTCAAGTCACGTACCAGAGTAGCACTTTCAAGTCACGTACCAGAGTAGCACTTTCAAGTCACGTACCAGAGTAGCACTTCCAAGTCACGCACCGAATACCGAAGTAGTACTGCCAATTCTAGGCATGTAAAAAGTTATCGTATGGTATAGTTGTCAGTGTGGCCGTTCTGAGATCAAAGTTACAGTCACGTGATGCGCTATGCTGTTTTTTTGTTGGTACGAGTTTGAAATCTTAACACGAAGACTTTTCTTATTTTAGGAACTTTGACGAAGCGAAATATCTTAATAGATTATAGTAGAGTCGGGTTTGGAGAATAGATATTATAGCATTGTAAGGAAAATCACTTGCTGGCGTTTCTCTGCATTAGTAACTATGAGAAAATGAGAAAAGTTTTGGGAATTAGAGGACCAAAGCATTGGACCAAAGCATACTACCATGAAAAGAACAGGGCCATGGCCCGGCCTCACAGGGCCATGGTCCGGCCTCGACGCTTCCTACATATCCGCTGCAAATACACGTACAAACATTACGTATTGCCAATGTTGGTCATGATTTTGCAAACAGTCCTTAAGGCGCAGAAAATGTTTACAAATTTTGTGATATGTCTCGCGCTGCACATCCTATATTCGCGCGCGCGCGACCAGATCACGTGCATCCATGGAATTAGAAACATTGGGATGGAGGGCCATTTCTCGAATTTCAATCTTGCAATGATAAATAAACGTGGGCGAAGCTTTTCTTGTATATGGCACGATATTAGTTTTATAAACATTAGAATTTGGTCTTATCTACACTACTTTGGTGAATAGTTCAAGGGGGCTATATTTATGAGTCGCATTTGAACTTGATTTCTCTCGGAGAATTTCTCTTTAGACTCTTAACTTGCGAACAAATTGAAGCAGCAAACTTTAGGCTAGAAACTTTATTGAATTGAAATAATCATTCCACGTAACAACGTCTTCTTCAGTTCTCAAATTATTTGTTATATAGTAGTGTTGAAAGTATTAAATTAATACTTTCAACACTACTATATAACAAATAATTTGAGAACTGAAGAAGACGTTGTTACGTGGAATGATTATTTCAATTCAATAAAGTTTCTAGCCTAAAGTTTGCTGCTTCAATTTGTTCGCAAGTTAAGAGTCTAAAGAGAAATTCTCCGAGAGAAATCTACTTTGGTGAACATAGGAATTAATAAAGAAACCGTATTAAATCACGAAATAAGCAGTTTCTGATATGATTATTTTCAGGTTATATTGCGAAGACAACGTATCCGATACAACCAGAACAGACTCAGTTTTTACAGCATTTGCACGTGCTGCAAGAAAAATTGAAACTCAGCACAGTCTAACCTGTTCGTTAGTCAGCTTATCAGAACAAGTTTAAGACTATTTCAGATATCAGATGACCGATTCCAAGACTCTGCCTTTAAGTGATCCGTCGGCGGGTCTTTACCACTTGGTACCTTATATTAAGTCAAAAGAGTCCAATAGAGAACAAAATAACCGATCTTACATATTCTTGTGTTTTTTGTTATTCAATTAATCAAAAACATGTGGTGGCCATTTTAAAATTCTGGACTCCGGATTTGTGAGAGCCAACAGTACAATTTCTACTTAATTTAATGTAAATAAAGTTTCTCGGTTCTTATTGTGTCCATGCAGCGTATAACTATTCAGTTTATTATTGGTGTGCAGCGTGAAGCATGTATTCTTTTTTTCTTATTAGAACTCTATTTATGTTGTGGTTTATCGTTCCCGATTGACCTCTTTTAATTTTTTTACGGGATTTTCATTTTCAGTAATTAAGTGATTTATTATTCGTTAAAAAGATGCTATACAGTATGGTGTTTGAAATTATTATGATAGTGAAATGCGCACCTCTTATTTGTTTTCTATTGCAATAATTATGCTGTTTATTGACTTGATCATATCAATTGCTTATACTTAGCTTGTACAATCAATAAAGATTAAATCTTAAATACTGTGACCCTCGGCCTCAACTAAAAACTCATATTGTGTAGTGTTATTTTCAGTAAAAACGTTCTTTTGTTTGCTATTACGACATTAAGAGGCTTGCGAGCGCAAATTTCTCACTTTTTACTAACTGCCTGGAGATTGAATTTCGCAAAATTGAGCACCAGGACATTCTCTAAAGTAACAGTTAATTATATGTTTTATTAGTCATTTTACATAATATGCTTTCAAATTTGAAACGATTGAATGCACATACTTGTAATACTTTATGGAAAGTGCGTAGGGATAATACTTGATGGGAAGTGTGATAAGGCAAGAATCAAGATATGGCCCTTTCTAGTATTCAATATAATCCACCAAAGTTTTTTATAAAGTTTCTAGCCTCTTTGGCTGTACAATTGGCTGTACAATTATATACTTATGTTTTACTGGTTTAGGAAACCTGTTAGTCGAAGAGAGGCAAACGGATTCTCAAATTATTGATGTCTTAATCTCTTCCTTGTTATTCTCCACAGTGAACAGGAATCAGTTCTCTGTACAGAATGTACACTGTACTAAGTACATGTGGTACAAGTACATGTGGCCTACTAAACACAGATGCATCACATCTCCTTATGGTGATACCTGTGCAGTTTGCCTCATAATTCCTTGGTAGCAATCTAGCATCAGCAAAACTATGCTCGATTTTAGAGGTAATTATTATGCCCACGTTTATAAATAACGATAATCGCTTGTAAGCTTAGCACGTGCAACTCTTCCTGGATTGGTCCTGCGGGGTCTCGTGACCATGGCAACGGCACATGATTGGTTAGCTCGCAAATCACGTGCCCAGTAACCCGCAAATAGTACACATACACCAAGGTAATTGCTGAAGATTGGTGTGTATATTTTGTGGAATGTGGAAGATTGCAATGTTACATGTACTTGGTAACTGAAGTGTACATTGTATCTTTTCCAAAGAGCTTGAACAGCTTATTTCAAATTTTAAAACTAATTAAAGTAGTCATTTTCTTAATTTTTTCTTTGATAAAGTCGTTAATTAGGTTTGTTTTCGAATTATTGTCGTCCGCTTTGCAATATTTTTTTGTTGTGATTTTTCAAAAGGATATTACTTAAATACAGCTATAAGACAGCCAATATTGTGTATTATACTTGTTGAAGTTTTAATCTCATCATGAAAATTAGGGGTCCATAACTAATTGAATAATTATTAATTAACCATTAATTAATTACGACCACAAGAAGTTTAAAAATACCTTATCGTTGTAATGTTAATACTTAATAATTTATTAATTTATTTATTAAGCTGAAATAATCATATCCAGGTTATTCTTCAGAAATTAACCCTGACTTAATCTTTAATGGCACCGTCTAAATAAATATCGCTGTTATAAAACCATTGCGTAAAACACTCTTATTCTTTTACTAAAACAGGGATAATTACTTACCATATCAGGCTTTACATCCAAATAAGGAATAATCGGTCAATCCTAGGACGGTTTAACTTCTTAACATCATCATGGAAAAGATTAGGCGGATGAAAGCTCTTGGTATATAGTTATACTATGTATACCCTTACCTAAAACTTAGTGCTGCTTCGTCTATATTGTTGTAATACCTTTGGTTTAGTAAATCTTGTCTGCTCCTAATTTTCTAAGTAGAGCTCTATAGTGAAAGATATAAATACCATTTTATAAGCAGCTTTTAGTTTGCAGAAAGACTTAGCAGTATTGCGATGTGCAGTTTAATTGTACGTGGGAACTGATAGTGATAACTTATATTAGTGGTGTAAATTTCAATAAATGGAAGATATTAATTAATGATTCGGTGTGTTGCGTTGACTTTTGAAGAATGTAGCGGGATTAATGAAGTAGCTACTAAAGGTTAAACTCCGTGAAACAATTTAAAGTTATGAGGATTGGTCCAATTTCATGTTTCACCTGGACACGCCCCTTTTATTGTTTTACAGTTTTACGTACCTTCTTGCTGCATTGATAATACTTGCAACAATTTCCATCCAATTTCATATTATAACAGTGTCCATTGACGCTAAGCTGAGTTAAAGCAAGTACTTATAGTTATCTGATTGGAAATAAACGTTTAAAAGCGTGAGACTGTCATGAAAACCTAGTTCCGTAACAAATTCGTCACAAATCACAATAAACCGGATCTTTCTCAAAGATCAGCAGCATGTGAAACTACCCTCCCGGCTCTCATGTCAGAATCACTATCAGTAGTCCCGATATTCAGGGCCCTGGGGCCCCTGGAGACTTACCTCAGTGAGCTTTATACCCACAACTTTGGGACGATAGGATGTGCCATCTGGGTCGATACTGACGTGGGTTTCTATAATATTATTTCTATTTTTAGTCCGTAGGGAGGTTTCATCCCACCTAGAACTCCTTGTTTACTGTTCAGTCGATAACGAAGATGGTGATGTCTTCAGTTTTATTCATTCAATGAGAGCATCAATCCTCCTGAATTTTTACTACATTCCCCTGATATTAGTCTTTAGAAATATGAAATAGAAATCTCCATATCCCAGGAACCCTTATCAATAGAGAAAGTGCACCGAGCACTAGAGTTCATCCAAACCACCATACCACACCTCCAACTATGTATCAGACAGAATGAATGGAAGGAGCTTGTGTTTAGCAAGATGCCCGAGATTGTTATTGATTTCAGCTGTGTTCGTGCGGGAGACTGGAGCCCGATCTATCATGATCTTTTCAAGTACAACTTCAACGTCGAAAATGGTAACCAATATACAGAAATGCTTGCCAGTGTTATAAACTGTCACAATTAAATTGCTATCTAACTTACATTACCGTTATTGTTTCATAATGTTGACAACTTTTTCGTCTCATTTAACAGAAATTTGTTTGAGAGAAATTGAAACGCAGCATTATTTCGGTAGAAATATATACGGATGGATGAACTAACTTCATTCTCGGTGTATTTCAGGGCCACTGTGGTGTTGCAAGCTAGTGACCCTGCCTCCTCTCGGGAACACTCATAAAAACGTGGTGATGTTCGGATTCCATCATGCCATAACGGATAACATGAGCATGTTGATACTCTGTGACAAGTAAGTCATTCTAGAGTTTAATAACCCTAAAGTACCCCCAAAAGTGATAAAATTCATTGACTTTGGTATTTGGTTGATTTAACTTATTGCTGCTCATTTAAATTTAATAGACCTGACTGAGGGTGAATAAGTTTATTATTGTGACATCAATATTTTGATCCCATCAACACAATACATTTAACATCTGCAGGTTCTTAAAATCACTCAGAGATCTGATCAAAGAAAACCCAATATCTGACAGCTACGAATATGCTATCTTACCCGGTAAGTTTGTTATGTACAAATAATTTGAATCGTTAGCTGATTATAAAATCAACCAGCCAGCTATCTACTTCACTGATTATTCAAATATTTAAAATCTGTTCAGCTGATGCGATAATTTAATAAATATAATGACCGACTTAAATTATTTAAAATTGCAGCTTTCGAGAAGTTGATAAAAAGGAGCGACATTTCCACTCAAATTGGGGATATAATTCCAGGACTTTCTTACACGTGGCGTGGTAGCATTGTGTTCAAGAACAGGTCAGTCGTCAGATTTAGCTGTGTTCAAGTATCTTGATCTCTTAATTTAGCCTAGAGCAGTTTAGATTAGGTTCCTAGAAATTCCTCCACTGGTTTGTTACCTAGGGACCTCAGGCTTCTGTATTATATATTGATAAACACAAGATTGAAGATTGAAGATATGGTGGAATGACATGTCACAGGCTGAGCGCGGCCCAGTAATTGGTTTGTAATTGGCCACACAATCAAAGTGTAACCATGTCTCTGCAGGTATTTCAGTGTATATCCGCCTCTTCTTGATGTCCTACCCACGTTGAGGACCTGTCCACTGGAACTCAGCGACGAACTCACTAAAAAGGTTTACATCAAGTTGAATTTTGAAACCAGAATGATTATCTTGTCTAAATTGACTTTTTCAGAAACGTATCCGAAATTGAATTATGAAACAAGGCTATTTCAGATCGTTTCATTTTACGAGCAAAGTTTTAGCATTTCCATCCATGTTATCTACCTTGTAACTATAAAATTACTAAGTAATCTAATAACTTATAACTTTTATCTTAAGCTATTCAAACACTGTGTAAAACAAGGAGTTTCGTTAGAGAGCGTGTTCTGCACCGCCTCAGCGATAGCGATGTACGAACTGATAACCACAGAATCTTGGATACAACAGGTATGAAATCAGCCTTTATTGTGCCATCAGTCGTGCATGTCCACTGTCCATCAGTCGTGCATGTCCACTGTCTGTACTTACCTGTCCACTTACCAGTCCACTTAACTGTTCATTATTCAAGTATGATACCAGGATATTTAATAAACAAAAGAATCTGGAATTGAGCTCTTGATATTGTCCGAAAGTAAAAATAGTAAAGTCTTAATTAACCGTACTTGTGTTACTAAAAGTGAACGTATAAAATATTTCCTTGCGTTTAAAATCTTCTAAACACCTCTCTCAGATAGTTCCATTCATTGACACCTCGTCGGTGGACATCACATTCTCGGTGCTGCCCAACTGTCGACGGTACTGCAACAACAGAACAACCAACATCTTCGGCTGCTTCCTAGGTTTCATTTTCATTTCTTGGCTGACAAATATAATATGAGTTTCCGCCTCTGGCATTTCTGTTTTTGTTCTTTAACTGTTGAACTATAATTATTTCCGTACGACTCTGATTAAGGATGATGATGTTTCACATTCTTATCATAATTGTGAACTTTAAATTCCCTTGCTTTTGTAAAATTCTTTACGATCACAGGTTATATCGATTGCGAGATAAGAGTGTCAGAGGAGTCTAAAAATAACTTCTGGGAGATAGCGAGAGAGATAAAAGATATGATAAACACTCAGTTAGAGGAAAAGAAGCCCCTTCAATACAACCGGTTCCTCAGTAAGATCGATGTTAAGAAGTTTGCAGATCTGGCGTCCAAGAATAACAGTGTCTTGAGGTATGAAGTTGGTTTAGTTCTCAAAATATGTATACTTTCGTTTGAATCGTTTTAAATACCGATCGGAAACTGATCTTTAATCGCGCCTGAAAGATTAACATACTATAACAAAACAAATTCAGATGAAGAACCAAAATACATTATCCATAAATTATAAGCTTTTTCCACCTCAGATATTTTTGCGTGAGTAACCTTGGTAACATAGAGAACATGAGCACTGGATCACGTGGTGACATCATTGCAACTAAGATTCTGAGATCTTCAAACATATTTCCTTACAGAGAGGCTCCCTTCAACCACAACTTACAACTTTTCAGAGGTAAAATCTCATTTTTGCTTATGAAGGTAGTTTTAATTTAAATCAATCGTAATTTATCATAACTTATCACAATTCAATAGTCCACTATTATGACTGAAGCCATAGGTAAAGATACCAGAGAGTTACAGTAAAAACTTGATACAGTAAAACCCCCATTTACAGCGGAATTTGGGGGAAGGAAATGGCCGCGGCAAATCGGGGTTTTACTATACCTTTGGCCTGGGGGCTGATCGATCCACCGAGCAAGTTATCTTATAATCAATTATTATCGTAATAATTTTCAGGTAAGCTAATGTACAATCTGGACTACCTCAACAATCTGTCCACAGACCAGTTCGCCAGGGACTATGTAACAAGGGTGTTCGGTGTAATGACTGACATGGTCGATAGACTTCCTCAGACTGCTAATTAACTAATCATTTCAGTTACCATTTTTAAGGTAATATAGTTCGTTTCTAATTGGGTATTTCGATAATTGATTAATTGCTTTGTATTATAGCTCCCTAGTCCCTGTCTTAGATTGGGCTTTAATCTTAAGTGGCGGGAAAATTTCTTAGGGTTAGTTTATTGTTCATGAACTATAGAGTTTTCCAACTATTTAATATTTATATCATATTTGTGAGGACCATCAACCAAAACACCACGATACTCACTGTCAAGCCGCTTTTTCATGTTATATAAATTTAATTTATTTTGTAATTGAAGAAGTAAAACGCGATATCTAATAATCTAACATTACATGCATAGATATAATTAATAAAGATATTGAAGATTTTTAGTTTATTAAGTATAAACTAAAAATAAATAAAAGATAAAAGATAAATCTCTTAAATTATCTCTTAAATCTCTTAAATACCATACCGTAGTATGGAAATTTAACTTATTTTGTAAATCATACATGTACTGTATAATATTTATGTTATAAGTGTAAAATTAAACAATCTAATGCAATATCAATCCTTATTCATTTTGATTCTGTCCGTTTCAACCATCTGAAATCTCAAAATCTATGTAATCGAATCCAAGTTCTAATTTGAAATTTCAATAACATTCAAGTTGACGCTCCGAGCGTTCTCTTTTGCTTTTTCTTCCCACCATTCAAATGTCTTTTTCTTGAGGGAACACGTCTTTCGGTCATTCAGATAAGTCAACGAGAGACAATCTTGTGTGTCCCTGCACATTCTGAAGCAAGTCTCCATATCATCAAGAACAAGACTCCTAATTTGTTTTCCTGGGAAGTCGGTTTCATCTTTAGCAGAGTTCAGGTCAACTTTGGTGTTATCACACTCCATGTTCATACTATTGTATGCGGCCGATACTGTAGGTCCATTTGCACCACCACGCTTTGATTTGAGGTAGCATTGCCGATTTGTTACTCTGAAAGCGAAGCCTACACATTCTTCAGTGTCTCTACAATGCTTTACACATTCTTCTTCATCCGCCACTTTGAGATTTCTTAAAGCAGCTCCAGCAAAGTTGAATCCTTCTCTCAAACAACCCAAATTGGTGATTGGACTGTTATCACATTTCATGTTCATGCTGTTGTATGCGGCCGATACTGTAGGTCCATTCGTACCACCACGCTTTGATTTGAGGTAGCATTGCCGATTGTTCACCTTGAAAGCGAAGCCTACACATTCTTCAGTGTCTCTACAATGCCTTACACATTCTTCTTCATCCGCCACTTTGAGACTTCTTAAAGCAGCTCCAGCAAAGTTGAATCCTTCTCTTAAACAGCCCAAATTGGTGATTGGACTGTTATCACATTTCATGTTCATGCTGTTGTATGCGGCCGATACTGTAGGTCCATTCGTACCACCACGCTTTGATTTGAGGTAGCATTGCCGATTGTTCACCTTGAAAGCGAAGCCTACACATTCTTCAGTGTCTCTACAATGCCTTACACATTCTTCCTCATCCGCCACTTTGAGACTTCTTAAAGCAGCTCCAGCAAAGTTGAATCCTTCTCTCAAACAGCCCAAATTGGTGATGGGACTGTTATCACATTTCATGTTCATGCTGTTGTATGCGGCCGATACTGTAGGTCCATTCGTACCACCACGCTTTGATTTGAGGTAGCATTGCCGATTCTTTACCCCGAAAGCGAAGCCTACACATTCTTCAGTGTCTCTACAATGCTTTACACATTCTTCTTCATCCGCCACTTTGAGACTTCTTAAAGCAGCTCCAGCAAAGTTGAATCCTTCTCTCAAACAACCCAAATTGGTGATTGGACTGTTATCACACTCCATGTTCATACTATTGTATCCGGCCGATACTGTAGGTCCATTTGCGCCACCACGCTTTGATTTGAGGTAGCATTGCCGATTTTTTACTCTGAAAGCGAAGCCTACACATTCTTCAGTGTCTCTACAATGCTTTACACATTCTTCTTCATCCGCCACTTGAGATTTCTTAAAGCAGCTCCAGCAAAGTTGAATCCTTCTCTCAAACAACCCAAATTGGTGATTGGACTGTTATCACATTTCATGTTCATGCTGTTGTATGCAGCCGATACTGTAGGTCCATTCTTACCACCACGCTTTGATTTGAGGTAGCATTGCCGATTCTTTACCCCGAAAGCGAAGCCTACACATTCTTCAGTGTCTCTACAATGCTTTACACATTCTTCTTCATCCGCCACTTTGAGACTTCTTAAAGCAGCTCCAGCAAAGTTGAATCCTTCTCTCAAACAACCCAAATTGGAGACTGGACTGTTATCACATTTCATGTTCATGCTGTTGTATGCGGCCGATACTGTAGGTCCATTCGTACCACCACACTTTGATTTAAGATAGCACATGTTATTGCTTTCTCTGAACGAAAAAGCTTTGCAATCTTCTGTGTCTCGACAGAAAATTGTGCACTCTTCCATGTCTTTCGCAACCAAACTCGAAAGGGCGGCTCCAGGAAAGTTGAAGCCCTCTCTTTTGCAACTCAAATTAACCGGTTCCCTGTCACACTCCATATTAATACTCATGTAACGAGCATTTACTGTAGGACCCTTAGCTCCCCCAGATTTAGACTTAAAGTAGCAAGTTCCGCTAGACGTTATGTACGCAATTGACTTGCAGTCTTTCGTTCTGAGACAGTCATCAGCACAGGCGCCAATTCTTTCGTATATTTTATTGAACATGCTAGGTCCACTAAACATTGTCTCTTGATGTGCACACTTTGTTATAAGTAGCTCAGACTGAGTCAGTTTTGGCTCTGGTTCAGGTTCAGGTTTTGCTTCAAGTACTGGTTCAGGATCTGGCTCAGGTTTTGGTTCAGGTTTTGGTTCCGGTTTAAGTTCAGGTTTTGGTTCAAGTACTGGTTCAGGTAGTGGTACTGGTTCAGGATTTGGTTCAGGTTTTGGTTCCGGTTTTGGTTCAAGTACTGGTTCAGGTAGTGGTTCTGGCTCAGGATTTGGTTCAGGTTTTGGTTCCGGTTTTGGTTCAAGTACTGGTTCAGGTAGTGGTACTGGTTCAGGTAGTGGTACTGGTTCAGGTTTAGGTTCAGGTTTTGCTTCAAGTACTGGTTCAGGTATTGGTTCAGGGAGTGGTTCTGGCTCAGGTTTTGGTTCAGGTTTTGGTTCAGGTTTTGCTTCAAGTACTGGTTCTGGTTTTGGCTCAGGTTTTGGTTCAGGTTTTGGCTCAGGTTTAGGTTCAGGTTTCGCTTCAAGTACTGGTTCTGGTTTTGGCTCAGGTTTAGGTTCAGGTTTTGGCTCAGGTTTAGGTTCAGGTTTTGCTTCAAGTCCTGGTTCTGGTTTGGCTCAGGTTTTGGTTCAGGTTTTGGGTCAGGTTTTGGTTCAGGTTTTGATTCAAGTACTGGTTCTGGTTTTGGCTCAGGTTTAGGTTCAGGTTTTGCTTCAAGTACTGGTTCTGGTTTTGGCTCAGGTTTTGGTTCAGGTTTTGGTTCAAGTACTGGTTCAGGTTCCGGTTCAGGTATTGGCTCAGGTTCTTGTTGATCATCATCAAGCATTGTAAATGTATCGGGTGCGAATAGGAAAAATTGTGATTCTTGTGGCACGCTCTTTACCAACACTCGCAATCCCACGGATAATTCAATACCCTCAACCGAAACCATTAGGACTAGGAGTAGGACGCCTAATACCTGGCTTCCCATGGCCATATTATCTCTGATCTTCGCTAAACGTTCGATATGTAACCTAATGGATTAGTAAAATAAAAACTGATCGTTGAGTCAATTTAAGTATAATTTCATGAATGGAAAACTTAAAGTTATGAATATGATTTACAAATATTTACATCTATTGTCAGGCTTATGAGCACAACAATGAACAAGCAATATAGGGATTGGGTCTTGGGAACTGAAATATTTATTTTAAAACTTAGCCAAACAAATATCAATAATTATATTTCATTTGAACATTAAGGTATCACAATAAATACATACTACATAATATATATTACGGAAAACGGTAAGATTGATCGCTGCACAACGGTCAGATAGTGATGATTAGGCTGAATGTCATTATATCATTACAATAAATATTTTCTTATGAAACTTTATTGCTATCATTTCTAATATCACCAATCACAAACAAAAGACTAGACTAGAAGCTCATTTGAAAACACAAACAGTACAGTTAAATTTTGAAAGTTATTGAATGTTGAGAGGTAACTTTTGAGATTTAAATATTGAGAGCTCTAAATGTTTAATTGTGTATTGAGACCCCCAAATTTCAGTGCTTAAACTGTAAATGTTTGATGTGTGATAAGGATTAAACAATATTTAAATTGAGGTCGGGCGGGGTGCACTGAGCAGACGAGCAGTGTCTGCCATGCTGGTAGTGGTTTCATGCCACATGCAGCGAATAGTAATTTAATAGTTGGTCGTGAAAGGTTTACCTTTAAGAATATCTAGTTTCAATATATCATTATTGATTATAATTTGTATATGATAGTGAAAAAAACGAAATGCGGGAATTGAGCAGGACACCAAGAACAGCCACCAAAACGATGACCCATGTTTGTATTGGAGCTGATTCTTAGCGTATTTCTTGTTTTTCTTCCTCTCACGTGGGTCCGGAGGAACCGGTACGAGAAGGAAACTTTGACGAAGGTTTAGGTTCCACATGATATTCCTGAATACCTATGAGTTTGATAAAGGGAGGGAGGGAACGAAGGAGTGAGGGAGCTGGAGGGAAGGAGGGAGAGATTACTGGGCGGCGCTCATGGCTCAGTCTGACATTCCGCCGCAGCTTCAACATTCAATCTGTTTATGAACAGAGAAAGCCTGAGGCCCCCATGTAAGAGAGGGAGGGAGGGAGGGAGGGAGGGAGGGAGGGAGGGAGGGAGGGAGAGAGGGAGGGAGGGAGGGAGGGAGGGAGGGAGGGAGGGAGGGAGGGAGGGAGGGAGGGAGGGAGGGGAGGGAGGGAGGGAGGGAGGGAGGGAGGGAGGGAGGGAGGGAGGGATGTTAAGGACGGTGTTTATATGATTGAATATCCATGCTGTAACTGTAAGTCTCTTCATAAAACACTGGAGAGAACAAGAGAAATATCAATATTTAATTAATTATTAATAAATTTAACATAAATAAGTTAACAAACCTTAGCTGAGGTCTCGTGATAGGGCGGTGCTCTATCAGTAATGCTTATCTGCAGCATGTATTCAGGATTCACCTTGTAGTCTAGTCCTCCTATCACCACCAGCTCACCTGAACAAACAGTCCTTTAACTAAGATAGGAGATACATGGTTTCAGCAACAATATCGACTACATGCATGATTTCAACAAGAAGGTCAGGGGTTTCATCAAGCTGGCAGATGTTAACTGCTAATATATGTTACAGTATTGTATCTAATCAAGGCTTCATATAGATAGGTTTCTATTGAAGACAGCATGCCACCCTTATCTTACTGTTATCTTAGAAAATATAACAGTTATATGCAGAGTATATGCCGACAAGAATCCGGATAATGTCTTACAGGGAAGTAGTACAGACAGTCAGCAACTCAACTAGAGCCCTCGTTAGTGCCTAGTTCCAACTTCCCCTACAAATGTTGCATTATCACGAGATTAACAGATAAGACAGTCACGTGATTAGGTGATCTCGTGATAATATAATGCTGATCTCAGATCAGTAAAGTCATATTTTCGAACATCGATAGCATTTTCCCGGTGTTCCATTTTCTTTTCCTTCATGAATTGTTCGGTTGATTTGCGACAAAGCAAGCGAATCATGAGCAGTGCCAGTAGTATAAATTGCAGTACATTCTAAATGAAACATAATTTATAATCTTAGAGTAGTACAATTTTCGCTATTCTCTTTTAGTTTAATATATATCATCGATCATGTTTATAACTTAAACTCTAGTTTCAACCGTTACAACTTACACTACAATATAAGTAGCCACATAATAATAATGTACCACTTTAAGTTTGATAGCTAATAACAGCACCAAGATGAAAGAAGCCCTACTTCTGACACTACTCACTCTACTACTGCACGCTACTAGTGGGGACCGTTTCAATGCTCTCAAGTTCGGACAGACGGATAAGGATTACATACTGTACCAGCCTAACATGCAGCCATTTGAGACCGGGTTTACGACGTGTGCGTGGATCCGGAAACTTCGAACTAGTGGTAGCGTCGAGCCAACCTGGTTCTCATACGCTGTGAGTGATCAAGCCTACGAGATTGAGATAACAGATATGGGTGAACGCACCAGGATATTCGGAGACAACTCTGATCTAGAAAGTCTATATACCGTGAACCACGGTACGTGGTTTCATAATTGTTTAGGTTGGGACGCAACCAGCCAAACAAGGACCGTTTACATTAATGGTGCACCAGTTGACAGCAAGGCTACACCTGCAGGGAGGACTCTGGGGCAAGGAGGGTACCTCGTGCTGGGTAACGAGCAACAAAGGCTAGGTACAGGAATGGATACCAACAATATGTTTAATGGAGAAATGTTTAATCTAAATATGTTCAGTAAGAAGTTGAGTAATGAAGAGATCAAGGAAATGGCAAGGGACATGTGTTCTGGAGTTGAGGAGACACACGGTGAAGTAAGAGTTATGAAGTGGGAAGACGTTCTCCTAAAAACAAGGACTGGTAACATCACAGAGATTGACACTAGGTGCAAGATCGTGCATCTGCAGGTCAAACTGCAACAAACAGAAGAGAAGTTAAATGAGACACTCACAGAACTAGAGCAGAGCAAGGAAGAAACAAGTACCTGTAATTCTGAACTGGAGAGCAAATCACAGCAACTAAATGAGACACTGGGGGAGCTCGCTCAAACCAAAGAAGATAAGGAAACATACCGAAGAGGTTTAGAGAACAAATCACAGCAACTGAATGCCACCGAGACAGAGAAGGAGACGACAATCAAAGAGCTGGACACGGTGACCCAGGAACTCAACATCACTAATACAGCTTTGAACCAGACTCAAGTAGAGCTCAAACAGGTCAAAGATTTACTTGAAAAGGCGAAGGATTGTCCACTCAACACGACCATTAGCAGCTACTGGGATCTCCTTTATTCAACAGAGTTCTTTGGTGCAGTCATAACTTCCCACAAACTTGAAGTTCTAACCAAGAGCATTGAGAAACTTGGTAATTTAATTCAGATATTTATATATTATTCATCATAGAGACCTATTATTTACATATACATGTATAGTTTGTCTGTTTAGACATACCTCACATGCACTAAATTTATTATACTCGTATGTTACTGTGGTAACAAACAAACCAACATTTCAGAATACTTCGAAGGGACCCGAATAACTGAAGGAATAATCCAGTTTTTGAAAATGTTTCACGATGGGGATGATCAGTGCCTCAGCTTGAGCTAAGTAAATACAGGTATCTTACTATATAAAAAGCGAGACGATATATGTGTATATATCCGTGCCATTTTACTGACACCACGGCATCAACTTTAACACGACATTCCGCAAAAACCGTAAAAGATATAAAACTAAAACTTTTTTAACTGGGTCAAATGCTTTAATGGCCTCCAAATCAGCATGAAAAAATAAAAAATAGGCCAAGGAATAGGAATTTCAGTGCCCAAAATTTGGATCGCCAAGTGGTGTCAAAAACGCGAATTAAATAGGTAATAATTATTTTAGTCTCTTGAGTCTTGACACCATTTTAGGGTTATATGGGTTCCTGCTAGTATATTGAAATACTTGCTCGATTACAAGGCCAAGGTTAATGTTATCGTTACAAATACAATGTACAAATAATCGTACTTTTGATTTTGAACGATCGCTAATTCAAACAAAGGTATCATCGTTTGTTAACGGTACTCTGAGTCTGGATTTGGAACAACGTTTGAACTATTGAATCACCATCAGTATCACTTATTCAAACAAACGTATTATTGTTTATTAATAGTAATAGTATATTAGTAGCGATGAAATGTCTAAACTCCTCATTTTCAGACATGGCGGGATAACTTTAAGAGTGACAGAGGAACAATTCATACAGCAGTTCTACCGCTAGCAATTTATGACGTACGAGATTCTTGTGCTGATAGGGTAAATGAACTCAACTCTGCTATCTCAGCTATTTAAGTTTACTCTTGACGGATGTTACTCGTCTAAATTTCTTCGAAGTAGCGCGCGCCGCTTTCTTCTCGCGACGGGCCAGATCATTATTGTAGGTTTACAACCTACCAGGACGCGCGCCGAGTTGGACTCGTCGACGGTCCTGTAAGTGTATGGAACAGATATTTTACGAGTATCACCCGTTAAGATCATTAACAATGGTCAAAGTTTACTCCTCCCGGAGTTAAAAAATGAACAAAAAGTTTGGCTCTTAATTATTAAATGATTCAGGCATTGGTATTGGTAAACTAATATTTACTGAATATACATTAATTTAAATTTGTAACTTTTCGCTTAAAAACTTTTGACGAGCAGGTCCATTTCAAAAAAATATATACTTTTTCGTACAAGTTCTATTAAATCAGTGTGTATTTTCGCTAGTGACAGTGTATACGTAAGGATATGGCTGAAATGATAAAACCTGATTGTTAAGAAAAATCGGTTCAATTGTAGTGCAATCATGCAATGTCAAATGTGGGGTGTAATTCTTAATCCTTCTTTTAAATATAATCATATTGTGCAAACTTTTTTATCATTTTTTAGATACCTTACAAAACATATTTATGTGGATCATAATTAGCGGGGATCGAAATTATGGGAGCGAAAATATGGGGATTTTTTTCAGAAATACAGTAACTCAGTACGAAATTTCAGAAATTCAGTACGAAAATATGGGGATTTTTTCCCATTTTTTCCAAAAATCCCCAAATTTCGTACCATATAAATATGTCTCGTAAGGTATTCAAATGTTATAGGTCATTGAAAATGGTTCGTTCAGTTTTCAACTTGCCACTTTGGTCGATATTGTTCTTTTTGATAATTACATCAATACTTTCGATAAGATTTAGAAAGCCTGATTTATAAAATTGTTCTCATTTGTCCTTGCTCATCATTTTTAAAATTTGAAAATTACAAATGATTCATGAACTGGCTGTTGATTTTACATAAATTTCAATGCCAGTTACTGGCATTGAAATTGATGTAAAATCATATAACCTTTTTATTTTGACTGAATTCATTTATAATTATGCTTTTTACTTTTTTAGCTCCCGGTCCCTGGAATCAGTATGCTTCTCCATCTTCTTAGGATTACAAAAGAAAACGAACGTATTTTTTGTTTAGTACAAAGTATTCTTATAAATATTTCAAGCAATTTCGGAATAAACTTATTTCACATAGCTAATAGCTGATATCCGTTTATCAATAATAAAAGTTAAACACAATATAAAACTTAAAGTTAAACTAAAAATTCAATATTTAATGTGGCCTTTGATTTAGGAGTAGTGTAGAAGTAACAGGAACCCAAACTGAAAGTGAACGTAACCTATGTCTGAAATTCATGCAAAATACAAACAAAATTATATCGCACCCATTACCGTGCACGGGATTTTTATTCGATTGGTCACTAGTTGGATGGTCACTGAAATTTAAATGTGTGCAGCTCAGGGGGGGGGGGGGGGGGGGGGGGGGGGGGGGGGGGGGGGGGGGGGGGGGGGGGGGGGGGGGGGGGGGGGGGGGGGGGGGGGGGGGGGGGGGGGGGGGGGGGGGGGGGGGGGGGGGGGGGGGGGGGGGGGGGGGGGGGGGGGGGGGGGGGGGGGGGGGGGGGGGGGGGGGGGGGGGGGGGGGGGGGGGGGGGGGGGGGGGGGGGGGGGGGGGGGGGGGGGGGGGGGGGGGGGGGGGGGGGGGGGGGGGGGGGGGGGGGGGGGGGGGGGGGGGGGGGGGGGGGGGGGGGGGGGGGGGGGGGGGGGGGGGGGGGGGGGGGGGGGGGGGGGGGGGGGGGGGGGGGGGGGGGGGGGGGGGGGGGGGGGGGGGGGGGGGGGGGGGGGGGGGGGGGGGGGGGGGGGGGGGGGGGGGGGGGGGGGGGGGGGGGGGGGGGGGGGGGGGGGGGGGGGGGGGGGGGGGGGGGGGGGGGGGGGGGGGGGGGGGGGGGGGGGGGGGGGGGGGGGGGGGGGGGGGGGGGGGGGGGGGGGGGGGGGGGGGGGGGGGGGGGGGGGGGGGGGGGGGGGGGGGGGGGGGGGGGGGGGGGGGGGGGGGGGGGGGGGGGGGGGGGGGGGGGGGGGGGGGGGGGGGGGGGGGGGGGGGGGGGGGGGGGGGGGGGGGGGGGGGGGGGGGGGGGGGGGGGGGGGGGGGGGGGGGGGGGGGGGGGGGGGGGGGGGGGGGGGGGGGGGGGGGGGGGGGGGGGGGGGGGGGGGGGGGGGGGGGGGGGGGGGGGGGGGGGGGGGGGGGGGGGGGGGGGGGGGGGGGGGGGGGGGGGGGGGGGGTTTTTTTTTTTTTTTTTTTTTTTTTTTTTTTTTTTTTTTTTTTTTTTTTTTTTTTTTTTTTTTTTTTTTTTTTTTTTTTTTTTTTTTTTTTTTTTTTTTTTTTTTTTTTTTTTTTTTTTTTTTTTTTTTTTTTTTTTTTTTTTTTTTTTTTTTTTTTTTTTTTTTTTTTTTTTTTTTTTTTTTTTTTTTTTTTTTTTTTTTTTTTTTTTTTTTTTTTTTTTTTTTTTTTTTTTTTTTTTTTTTTTTTTTTTTTTTTTTTTTTTTTTTTTTTTTTTTTTTTTTTTTTTTTTTTTTTTTTTTTTTTTTTTTTTTTTTTTTTTTTTTTTTTTTTTTTTTTTTTTTTTTTTTTTTTTTTTTTTTTTTTTTTTTTTTTTTTTTTTTTTTTTTTTTTTTTTTTTTTTTTTTTTTTTTTTTTTTTTTTTTTTTTTTTTTTTTTTTTTTTTTTTTTTTTTTTTTTTTTTTTTTTTTTTTTTTTTTTTTTTTTTTTTTTTTTTTTTTTTTTTTTTTTTTTTTTTTTTTTTTTTTTTTTTTTTTTTTTTTTTTTTTTTTTTTTTTTTTTTTTTTTTTTTTTTTTTTTTTTTTTTTTTTTTTTTTTTTTTTTTTTTTTTTTTTTTTTTTTTTTTTTTTTTTTTTTTTTTTTTTTTTTTTTTTTTTTTTTTTTTTTTTTTTTTTTTTTTTTTTTTTTTTTTTTTTTTTTTTTTTTTTTTTTTTTTTTTTTTTTTTTTTTTTTTTTTTTTTTTTTTTTTTTTTTTTTTTTTTTTTTTTTTTTTTTTTTTTTTTTTTTTTTTTTTTTTTTTTTTTTTTTTTTTTTTTTTTTTTTTTTTTTTTTTTTTTTTTTTTTTTTTTTTTTTTTTTTTTTTTTTTTTTTTTTTTTTTTTTTTTTTTTTTTTTTTTTTTTTTTTTTTTTTTTTTTTTTTTTTTTTTTTTTTTTTTTTTTTTTTTTTTTTTTTTTTTTTTTTTTTTTTTTTTTTTTTTTTTTTTTTTTTTTTTTTTTTTTTTTTTTTTTTTTTTTTTTTTTTTTTTTTTTTTTTTTTTTTTTTTTTTTTTTTTTTTTTTTTTTTTTTTTTTTTTTTTTTTTTTTTTTTTTTTTTTTTTTTTTTTTTTTTTTCTGTTTTTATACTGTGGTAACAAACAAACCAACATTTCAGAATACTTTGAAGGGACCCGAATAACTGACGGAATAATCCAGTTTTTTAAAATGTTTCACGATGGGGAAGATCAGTGCCTCAGCTAAGTAAATACAGGTAAAACTAAATATTGAAATACTTGCTCGATTACAAGGTTATCGTTACAATGCACAAATAATCGTACTTTTGATTTTGAACGACCGCTAAGGTATCATCGTTTGTTAATGGTATTATACAAAATACAGGTTGCAGGTATAGATGTCAAAATATAGTTATACTTGTATGTTATTCTTTACTTTAACTATGATCTAAGAGTTTAGAATTCGGCCACTATTCTCCTAACGCGATTTACATATAAATGATTCGTATTTCGTGACGAGGTTTTCGTTACAAATTGAAATAATCGTACTCTGAGTCTGGATTTGGAACAACATTTGAACGTTTGAATCACCATCACTTATTCAAACAAACGTAGCATTGTTTATTAATAGTATATTACTATTAGTAGCGATGAAATGTCTAAACTCCTCATTTTCAGACATGGCGGGGTAACTGTAAAAGTGACAGAGGAACAATTCATACAGCAGTTCTACCGCTAGATTCTTGTGCTGATAGGGTAAATGAACTCAACTCTGCTATCTTAGCCATTTAAGTTTACTCCTCCCGGAGTTATAAAATGAACAAAAAGTTTGGATCTTAATTATTAAATGATTCAGGCATTGGTAAACTAATATTTACTAAATATACATTAATTTAAATTTGTAACTTTTCGTTTAAAAACTTTTGACGAACTGGTCCATTTCAAAAAAATATATACTTTTTCGTAAATTAAATCAGTGTGTATTTTCGCTAGTGTATACGTAAGGATATGGCTGATAAAACCTGATTGCTAAGAAAAATCGGTTCAATTGTAGTGCAATGTCAAATGTGTGGTGTAATTCTTAATCCTTATATTAAATATAATCATAGTGTGCAAACTTTTAATTATTTTTTAGATATTCAAATGTTATAGGTCATTGAAAATGGTTCGTTCAGTTTTCAACTTGCCAATTTGGTCGATATTGTTCTTTTTGATAATTAATAATTACATCAATACTTTCGATAAGATTAAGAAAGCCTGATTTATAAAATTGTTCTCATTTGTCATTGCTCATCATTTTTAAAATTTGAAAATTACAAATGATTCATGAACTTGCATTGAAATTGATGTAAAATCATACAACCTTTTTATTTCGACTGAATTCATTAATGCTTTTTACTTTTTTAGATCATAGATACACTCCCGGTCCCTGGAATCAGTATGCTTCTCCACTCTTAGAATAACGAAAGAAAATGAACATTGTTTTGTTTAGTACAAAGTATTCTTATAAATATTTCAAGCAATTTCGGAATAAACTTATTTCACATAGCTGATAGCTGATATCCGTTTATCAATAATAAAAGTTAAACACAATATAAAACTTAAAGTTAAACTAAAAATTCAATATTTAATGTGGCCTTTGATTTAGGATTAGTGTAGAAGTAACGGGAACCCAAACTGCAAACTGAAAGTGAAAGTAACCTATGTCTGAAATTCATGCAAAATGCAAAAATATTATATCACATCCTTTACCGTGCACGGGATTTTTATTCGATTGGTCACTAGCTGGGTGGTCACTGAAATTAAAATGTGTGCATGCTCATCGAAGACCCTAATTTTATTTAGAAAACATTCTGAAAAAAGTGAGATAAAAATAATAAAGCACATTTCATACTACCGTTAAAATCATTTGGGTATCAAACGCTTAAAAATTTCTAGTAAATTCTCTAGTTTTATAAATCTGCATGAATAATGAGTACCTATTAAAAGCAGCTCTAATAAATAAATCTCCAGTCAAATATACGGCGGTTAATAACACTGCACATTATTTAGCACACTTGAAGATAATATACCGACTAAATACATATCAAGGAATTTTCAATAAAATTTTAAAATTTTATTGAATTCAGTTTACAAATAAAATGAAATTTCACAAAGCTGACTCAATCATAAGTTCATGATGAATCATTATTTTTTAATTAGACAAATTGAAATTACCTTCTATGTGAGAAACTGTCGGGATATCCTCAATAATGAAATTACACGCATTTCTAGATACTTTATTCTTCAGATAATATATTTTTATCAAATGTCAAACTGTTTATACAACTAATATATCTTTTGGTAAACACTACATTAAATTTATAAACAATTTATCTTCAGCCACATATATATCAAGTAAATTTAGCTCTTATCATAATCATCATTAAAATGCTAGTAAAGAAATATTTCTTAGATGCGATAGATATAGCTGTCATGGCCGAAAATGCAGCACTTTGCTGCCACTCCTCGGACGAATATAGGCCGTTTTTAGACCTTACCTAAACGCTCACTGCACTTGCTCAATAATATAATCTCTCTAATCTTATCTTATCTTATCTTATCTTATCACAGCTTGATCTCGTTATCTAAAGTGGCTGTTGATAACTGGGATAGTTCGCTCATCTGCACCATATTTCCTGGGGTCGGTGTAACCGGACCATGGCCCGGATATTGTCTATATTGAAACATGTTATTGTTATAAGTCTGAAGTTTGTCTGGGTAAAAGTGTGGGGATTGTACTGGTTGTTGATAGTAGGGGTGTAGAGGGGTCCCGCCCCCTTGAGGTGGGATCTCCCGGTATTTGGTTTCCGGGTAGCATTTCTTCCTGCACAGGACTATGAGGAGGATGACAATGAAAAGTAAGACACCAAGAACAGCCACCAGAACGATGACCCATGTTTGTATTGGAGCTGATACTGAGCGTATTTCCTGTTCTTCTTCCTCGCACGTGGGCCCGGAGAAACCGGTGTAGCACGTGCAAACTCCGTCCCAACAATTCCCGTTGTTGCACGTGCTGCAATCTATCTCCTCACAAGTTGGTCCGGTCCAGATCTTATTACAATCACACTTCACGTACGAGTCTCCCTTTGCTGGACCTTTACACTTGCCGTGGACACACGGATCAAAGTCACATGATCTGGGGAGCTGACAGAGATCGCCTCCCCAACTAGAAGTGCATGTACAACCAAACTTTCCTTCCCCGTACTCCGTACAAGTTCCCTGGTGTAAACAAGGATTGTCTTTACAGGGTGTCCTGTCTATCTCACATGTTGTTCCCGTATACCTGGGGGATAAAATCAAGATAGTGAGGGAGGGAGGGAGGGAGAGAGGGAGGGAGGGAGGGAGGGAGGGAGGGAGGGAGGGAGGGAGGGAGGGAGGGAGGGAGGGAGGGAGGGAGGGAGGGAGGGAGGGAGGGAGGGAGGGAAAAAGATAAACGCATGATGTTTACAGTACCTGATTGAATTACACCGACACTCGAATCCATTGACGAGATCGACACACGTGCCATCGTTTGTGCAGGGTAAGTCCGCACATTCGTTTATATCTACGTCACAGTTCATGCCCGCGTAGCCTGGCTTACACTCGCAAGAATACCTACGATAACTTAAATTAAAATATTTCTTCGAAGTTCTCAAGTTTACCAAACTAGACTAATGTTTATGTTAAAATCAACTAAACATAAATTTTGGAACTTTCCAACCATCAACAATAAAGCCGGTATTGTTCAAATCAATATAATAGTAAATAGTAATAGTAGAGACATCGTATAATAGTATACGATGTACTCCTTTTGCCGCCGAGGGCTCTGGTTAGATCAAGTACCCACTGACTCAATAATTTGCTAAAAAATAATTGATTTTTTATTTCATAATTACTAACTATTTAATCAGTAACTAACCCATTGAGCTTATCAGTGCAAGAGAGGGAGTGAACGCAAGGGTCAGGTTCACATTCGTTAATTTCATACTGACATTGGTTCCCAGTGTAGCCAGCAGTACAGTCGCAAGTTGGACCTTGGAAGAAGATCGTTATTATTTCCATCGTCAATATTAGTTGTTGGGGCAACATGCACATTGTTCAAATGTTGCAGCATAACATTTTGAACTTTAAAATAACTAACCAGAAAATCCGTCCGGACAATCGCACTGATAGTCGCCCCAAATATCCTGGCACCTGTGTGTAGCCGGGCACGTGGAGTGAACGCACGTGGGCGGCACTTCACAGCCTAACTTCACGTCCCCTCCTACCCTCAGATCAAATATATCAACCTCACTATTACCAACTCTTACGTCCCTGATATAGTGATGCTTATTAGTTAATCTAATAATAACAATTGTAAAGAAGGAATTTTGAAAGGAATTTAGAAGGAAATTTCAAAATTTCCCATTCAGACATACCTGACACATCCAATAACTCCGGACCTGACCCTCTCTTTAACGCTGACTCCGCCGGACACTCCACCTACACTCAGAACAGTCCGGGAACTGGTCCGGAATTGAGTGTGTCCGTCCCTGGTCCGGTTAACAGCAGAGTGTAGCTCGTCTAACTGTAGCTGGATTTGGTCCAGAACCTGGGGTGTTTGGTAAGGATATCATGATTTATGTTTTGTTGTAAAGCGGACATGATATGTTTACTTATTATTTATTATGTTGCTGAGAGATCTTGCAAGGCAGAACAAGATACCAGGTATATTCTATATGTTACATTTTCTTATTTAATATCTTATATTATATAGTATTACTATAACATTTCATTGTTAGCTTTGTGAATCTCTCGCGGCATCTACTTAATACTACTTAGGTATTTGATCAGAAAAAAGAGAACACAAACCTTATTAAACAACACAGTGTGCCACACACCATCATTAACTTTAGTTCCGTACATGGTTAACTGAGTGGTTGTTCCTGTGTTAAGTGTAACTGTGGGCTGTCCTTCCGTCAATCCAACAATCAGGTAATCCTGACCATCTCCGGCTGATCCGAACACGTAGAGTAAACAATCCGGAATTCTGGTCCGGAACTGGATTGATATCATGAGGGTTGCTGAGTTGAGGAAGAGGTTGGAAGTGAGGGAGAGAGTGAGGGGGATTCCTTCAGAGAGGGTGATGGAGGGGGAGGTGGCGGAACAGTCCCCGGTTTTACCCCAGGGACATTGACATGTCACAACTCCGCCGTGCATTGTGCAGACCTGCCCAGGAAATTTAAAAATAGTTGGACATTTTGGATGCTGTAGGTTTAAAAAAAGTAAAGTAGTTATTTGAACTGGCTTTCTCATTCACGGTTTGTCGTCTAACATTGACAATGAATTTATTGCTACACATTAGATCATGCTTAGTCAGATTTCAAGTTACCAATCGAAAAAACTTTCCAATAACCATAAATTGTGATAAATCTTGTCTAAAAACTAAATAACCAATATTTGATTATCAATCTAAATTTGCATGTAATTTCATCAAACCTTCTGTCCGGAGCAGCTAGTTTTACAATCTTGTTCCATACAACCAACATAGTGACGTGAAGAGGGTACAGTGTTGGAGAAATCTACCAGCTTGTCCCCTGATTTATTTTCATCAAATAAATGTTAATATAAAATAATTTGAATAAAGATAGTTAGACATTAAATTAAGTTCCGATTACCCTAATTACGTGTAAATAATATGTGAAGAAGAGGATTACCAATGTAGAGATCCTTGATACAGCCATGGTAGGTAGAGGCAGGAAGGAAGGAGTAACTGTAGTCAACTCCACCCAGGTAAAGTGGGGTGTTCGTGTCTAGAGAATAATACGCTCCTGAAAGTGAAAGTGAAAGTGAAATAAATGTGAAAGATAATCATGAGGAGGGTGAAAATAAGTGTTAATGCGACATCATTCATCATTGCTGGACTTGGTAAAATAAGTGAAAACAGAGTAAAATAGTTACGAAAATGTGTAGATAAGAATAGTTTAAGCTAGAGTAAAACAGTTTGAAATAGAGTAAAAAACCTGAAACAGTTGCGGAAGCAGAACAGGAAGATTTCACTCTATCATGGCACTCATCAACAAGTACTGCTACCTGTTTACTGTTTACCTTAACAGTAATTATGTGCCATTTTCTGTCGAGACGCTTTTGTTGAGGACGAGTCGAGCTTGTTGGTCACTCCCTACACTGAATCTCACAACTATATTCTCGTTTACTAGTTGCACTATTAGATAGTCTCTACCTCCACCGTACCTGTAACGTGAAGTGAGGTCAAGTTGAGGTAGAAAGAAGTTAGGAATAATATCTATAAAGAATTCATATTCAAATTGCATTCATGCTGTTATTACTTTATTATATCATCAGGAATTGTCTTTGTTTACAGTCTACCTTGAGTTTCTGTTACTATTCCCAAGCGGGAACAGCATGGTTAGTATTCGAACAGCAATTCAGAAAACCTGACAGAGAAACTTACCTCCCAGCGTACATGAGGAGACCATCACTGGACCTGGTCCTGATCTTAAAGGAAATAGTGCTGTATTTGAGAGAAGGAGAAGGGACAGCCACGTGACCGCCCTCCAAAACCCCGACCTCTACCAGCTGGCACTCTGGACCCTGGTACCCGACAGGACACTGACATCTGTACCCTCCTACCCCCTCTACACAGCTGCCCCCGTTTAGGCAGGTGTCAGGGGTACAGTAATGGTACCTGCAATTTGGGAGTATTTATTTGAACTTGGAGACGAAGGATGTTTTTTAATGAAAAGGGTAATTTTGACACTATCACGTCATTAAATCATAAAACTGTGGATATAGAGTTTCGAGAAGATTCACCTCGGTATTATGACCTCACTCAAAATGCAGCTCAGTAATCATGAGAAATATGTAGTAGTTAATACTGAAGTTACATTAATTATAATCAGCGTCTTTAATTTATTTTACCTGTACTGACAGTACTCCCCATGATAGTCCGCCTTGCAAGAACAATCCAAACTACCATCACTCCTAACACCGCACATTCCACCATTCCTACAGTGGTTTTCCGGACAGTAACTCAGCCTCTCCTCACAGTTCCTCCCGGAGAAGGAGGACCTGCACTGACAAACATAAGAATCTTCCAGACTGTAACATTTCCCGCTATTTCTACAAGGGAGTGAGAGACAGGGATCTTCAGTGACCTGACAGTTTCTACCGCTGAATCCCGACTGACAGAGACACTCGTATGTGTTTGTGCGGTCTGTGCACGTGCCTCCGTTGAGGCAGATGTCCGGTGTGCATTCGTTGATGTTTTCCTCACAGTTGAACCCGCGGAAGCCTGGTTCACATTGGCACGTGTAAGGAAGGTAACTTCCGGCTTGGGACTGAGAGACGCAAGTTCCACCGTTAATGCAAGGGTTCAGATCACAATCACTCGCACTGCGGTCGGATATCTCGCAGTTCTTACCGCGCCATGTTAGAGAGCACGTGCACGTGTAACCAAGGAGACCAGACGTGCAATAATCCGCGTGCTCCGTGCACGGGGAGGCGTCGCAGTAACCCGGGGAGACAAGGGGGATATCGCACGTTTCACCGACGTAACCTGGCGCGCAGTGGCACAAATACTCCCCGGATAAGTTGTAGCAGAAACCACCGTTTTGACAGGGGTTTGAGTCACATGGTTGCGCCGTGTGTTGGCAATTCTTGCCACTGTAACCGTCTTTACACTCACAAACATGACCATCAATCCCATCTATACAGGTTCCCCCGTGAAGACAAGAAATTCCAGAACATTCGTTAATATTCTCCTCACAGTTACTGCCTCTAAACCCTGGTGAGCACTCACAACTGAACTCATCACTGGATGCAGCTACACATTTCCCACCGTGTTCACAAGGATTGCTTGCGCAGGGATCCGTTAGACTCTCACTAACGTACGTGCAGAATCTACCGGCCCACCCGTCCGTGCATGTGCACGTGACGTCATCACGGCCGGAGGTGCACGTGGAGTGTCTGCTGCAAGATGCACGTGCGCAAAGGTCCTCAGCAAGGATTACAACCTCACAGTTCTGTCCTTTATAACCGTTCTGACACGTGCATGTGTACCTGACAAGGTTTATAAATTTAGTAGTAATTTTAGTGTGTCGTGACTCGTGGATATTTAATTAAAATATTGTATTTGATTTAGAGATCATAATATGAAATATGAATCATGATCTTAGAATGGGGTCAAAATTTCTGTAAGTAAAGATTAAATTAATTGATAACAATATGATTGCCATTTAAAAGAAGGACCTCTGAAATTGTCAACTATATTTCAAGAATCAGTCTAAAAATCAGCATGATCAAGGAACGTACCCGACAATCTCGTCTCTGCAGGAACCACTATTGAGACAGGGGTGACTGAGACAATGTCTGATGGGTATATCACAGCGTGCCCCGCTCCAGTTCTCATTACATTCACATTTCTCAGATTCCTCTACCACGTGGCATGTCCCTGTGTTGCAGGGGCTTGTGAAACATGGTACCTGGGGTGGGAGTAGTCGGTAAGGTTCACTTATTGTAGCTGATATGATAAGTTATAATTACAAATAAATAGTAGAACTTTAACTTGAACAGTTTAACTTTTAACTTGAAGATATTTTACATTATTTGTTTCCTTATAAAGTGATATATTCTCACCTTGACATCACACCGACTGCCCTTTAATCCGTCAGCACATTTACACTGTGGTGTGGTGGTGGAAGTGATCCGGTCGTTTACCTGAAGTTTTTGTTTTAATAAAATTGCACTTAATTTTCACCTGACTATGCTTCTAGGAACTGTTTTTAAATCTTCTAAAGTATTAAGATCTAGTGCAATGGTTCTCGCCAATGAACCGAAATTAATAAACGAAATTTTCATTCAAAATCTGTATTTCAGATCTACATCTCTAAATATAATTCTAACCAGAGTATAGGATGTGCGAGAAGTACAGGTGGAGGACATGGGACAAGGCTCCCGGAGACAAGGGTCCAGATCTATTGTATCCAGTATGTATCTGAGGGAGAGTTGTGATTGGTCAATGGGCTAGAGTTTGAACTATACGATAAATGTGCTCTTAAAATTTTGAAAAGTGGTTTGTAGGGAATCCGAAACATTGATACTTATATTGAATTATTGATATCATATCGGGTGATTAATTTCCCGAATAAGAAGCTAATAATCCCTTATTTTTAACACGTACCCGGTACTATCCTGGAAGAGTGTCTGATCACGTGACAGCAGCCTCTTCATATCATCAACAGACATGTACTCTCCGTCAGCTGATCTAGCTATCAGGGTAACCTCCAGAGTTTGTTGTGCTGATCGCTTCCTGGATTTGTCTTCAGCGCTCAGCACGATCACCTGATGTGTGGTTTTGTCAGAATTTGTCTTTTGAGTTCGTCTCATATTCAGTATTCACTATTCAGTATGTTCAGTGCTGTTATGAAGTTATTTGTGGAATCCTGGCCCTATCTCATTCAAGGAGCTATTCTTTAAATTTTACTCTTTTGATCCTAAAAATCGAGGCTTTAGCCTAAATTATGGTAAAACTCTCGATACAACATCTTACTACCAAAGTTATAACTAATAGCTCAATATGAACAGCTAAGTTAAAGTACAAATAACTAAATCGATAATTCACCTCGCTAGGGCTCGTTCTAAGGATCTCCCCTAAGATAGAAACAAAGAGCTCCTGATTGAAGGACCGCTCATTAACCGCATCTAACCGCACTGTGAGCGGATTAGCGGCTGCCGGGGAGTTTAACGAGTAAACCTGCACCGTAATAGTTGATATCTCTCTGTGTTTACCATCACTGATGTAAACTGTGAGTCTGTGTGTTCCTATGGTGGGTTGTTGTGACGTCATCAGCGTTCCGTTAGGAAACATCCAGAATTCAGAGTCAGGTTCTGAGAGGGAGTAGACAAGGGTCGTGCCCGGGTCACTGTCCTGGGCGGAATATTCCAGAACAGTTTGGCAGGTTACTCCGCTGTCGAAGAGAGGGAGGTTAACTTGGACGGGGGTTGCTATTGGTGGGTAGTTGTTGGTTGTTAGAACGGAGATAACAACATCAGCTGAGGAGGTTAGTGGAGGGGTCCCCGAGTCGGACACCTGGATCGTCAGGGTGTAATCTGTACCAGGGGTCAGCGTCTTCGGCTTCAGGACCCTGGATGAGGTCGTGTTAGTGTCATATCACATGTTTTGATATTTAAGTTACCTAGAACTTTAGATGGCTGCCTGAAAATTTGTAGGCCAATTTCCATGAACTTACATGATTTTCAATAAATGTGCCACCGACGATTTTAAGTTCTAACATAAATTGAAGCTGGTTTTTAATGAAATTAAGAAAAGAAGGGCTTAGAACTTTAAAATTTTAGAAGAGCATGAAAATGAAGGGTTCAGAAGGGCTGAGGTAAAAATAAGGGGGAATTAAAGCCAGGGGCGTTTGCACAAATTTATTACAATTTTTATATTTCTATCTTTAGGCAGAAAAGCCTTAGACAACCCTTCCACAGGCTCCTTTAAAGCTTTAACAAGACGTTTAATTCTAAAAGGAACCAATAAAGTTCCAAAAGTAACGACTTTTGGATTCCAAAGCTCGGAATTTCGCCAAAAAGGCTTCTTATCTGACAGCAAATCCATATAACTTTAACTCCGTTTGCCTTTATGTTTTATGTAACAGACTAATAAGTATTACTTAGTTCAGTTAAGTTCTTTAAATGCTTATATTCTAGTTAAAATATCCACGTGAAAGAATTTTTCTTGAATCATTCTAAATGTGCGAGACAGCTCACGCAAGTTTTAAGTCTTACTAAGCGTTTAAGGATCCTTATTTATACCCCTCATATTTTTCATAAAATTATTTTTTCTTAATGTATTGTAAACTATCAAGTTGTATGCTAAGCAGCTAATAGATATAGCAATCTCGTTTCCTTGTCGTTGAAATATCGAAACAATTTTCTAAATATTTTATTCTTATCCTAGTTTTATCTTACTTTAGGACATTATTTTCAATTCCGAAAGCTTCCTTGCCAACTCCGGACATTATGACCGCTGTGAAGGGAGCACCATTTCCAGGTCCGTCTAGATCTCTGATAGGCAACGTTAGTAGATCCGTCCCTGAAGTGAAAAGGATGTTACTATTCGTTTAGAAATTTAAACCGTTCGCGTTGTAGTTCGATTATAATCTAAATATTACATACTCAAACTTGAAATGATAGGCTACGCCCAGGCTACGTCTAAAAGCCAGCGCAGCTTGTGGTATAAAACAAATAGGGCAAAATGAGGGACATTTACCTGGTGCAGTGTCAACAGAAGTGCTGAGGGAGAATTCAGTTAGCATTAGTTCAGGAAGATTGTCATTAACATCCGTTACAGTGAGAGTAAGTGTAGTGGTTGAGGAGAGGATTGGATCTCCGTCATCTGATACCATCTGATCAGGGGATCAAGTGTTTGGTTAAAAACTGTTTCGCAATTCATTAATTACTCACGAATCCTCTGCAGTCTCTGTTCTACTACAAATAGCAATAACAACGTAAAAAAGTGCCCTTGTGATTATAACAATTCTACTGAAAACACGCACGCTTGGGTGATAATAATAATCATATCTTGATAATCTAACAGTGTGTCAGAGATTGTTTTCTATCCATTAGTAACCTAATTGGTTAATTATATAATCACATAATAACCCACTCACCACAGTAAGAAGGAACTCTCCCCGCCCCTCTCTGTCTAAACTCTTCATCAGGACCACGTCCCCCTGGTTGTCCATTCTGAAGGTGTCTTCGAATGTGTCTTCCAGGGCGAAGGTCAGAGTCTGGTTGGAGTCGTCGTCTGTCGCGGAGATGGTAAGGATAGTCGTACCTGCGGAGGTGATGGTGTTAATTAGGAGCATACCTGTTGGGCTGTGGAGGTGATGGTGTTAGTGCATAAGTGGGGCAGTAGGTTTAGATATGTTTTAAGTTTTTAGTAATAATTGGAATATTATCCCGAACTACTCCAAAATGTAATTTATCACGATCTTCAGACAGTAGAAATAGATTTACATTACCTGGAGTGTAATTTTCTGGAATATCTGTGGTATAGCTCTCTTCATCAAACACTGGAGGGTTATCATTAGCGTCAATCAGTTTCACCTGGACCTGTGGGAAATTCTGTTAGATAAAATAAATTCTCAACAAATAAAAAACACAAGGAAATATAAGTCTTTCTACAGATTCTGTTGTACAGTAAAACCACGATTTACCGCGGAGTTTGGGGGAAAGGAAACATCCGCAGTAAATCGGGGTTCGCGGTAAATCGGGGCGCGGTAAATCGGGGTTTTACTGTATAGTGTATACTAGGAAATTAATTTTCCAGACATATCAATATTCCATATTTTGTTTATTAATAAATTTAACACAAATAAGTTAACAAACCTTAGCTGAGGTCTCGTGATAGGGCGGTGCTCTGTCAGTAACGCTTATCTGCAGCATGTACTCAGGATTCACCTTGTAGTCTAGTCCTCCTATCACCACCAACTCACCTGAACAAACAGTCCTTTAACTAAGATAGGAGATACATGGTTTCAGCAACAATATCGACTTAATGCATGATTTTGACCAGAAGGTCAAGGGTTAACATCAAGCTGGTAAATGTTAACTGCTAATATATGTTACAGTATTGTATCTAATCAAGGCTTCATATAGATAAGTTTCCATTGAAGACAGTATGTCACCGGCCTAATCTTATTGCTATCTACGAAAACATGACGGATATATGCAGAAAAGAATCCGGAGGTGTAGACACTGACAGTCAGCAACCCACCCCTACAAATGGCATATTATCACGTGATTTGCAGATAACACAATCACGTGATTAAAAGTGATAATATTTAATTCAATATAAGGTTGATCTGAGATCAGTAGAGTCATACTACACTATGAAATAACTCATAGTTTCTGAAATCAATAGTATTTCCCGATGTTACCGACTTTCTATTTACTTTTCCTTCGTGAGTTGTTCAATATGCCTACGATGGTTTTTAGATCGATCGATTATTCTTTTGATTATTTTTCTACTTCTTTTGATAATGTAAGACTGATCCGAGATCAGTAGAGCCATATTTTAAGTTTTTTCCTCCGTGAATTGTTCGATTTACATAGCGTAAATGTCACGTTTTAAGTAGCCACAAAATAATATGTACCACTTTAATAGCTAATACCAGCACCAAGATGAAAGAAGCCCTACTCCTGACACTATTCACTCTACTTCTGCACGCTTCTAGTGGGGACCGTTTTAATGCTCTCAAGTTCGGACAGACGCAGAATGACTACATACTGTACAAGCCTAACATGCAGCCATTTGAGACCGGGTTTACAACGTGTGCGTGGATTAGAAAGTTGTATAGTACAAACCCAACCTGGTTCTCATACGCTACGAGCGTGACAGCGCAAGAGATTCAGATAGGAGACGATGGATATCAAACCCGCATATTCGGTAGTACTGCACGTCTACAGAGCCATTACACCGTGACCCCCGGCACATGGTTTCACAACTGCCTTAGCTGGGATGCAACAAGCAATGCTCGTAACGTGTACATCAATGGTGTACTAGTTGACACAGCTAGTACAACTGCCGGGAGGACTCTGGAGCAAGAAGGATATCTCGTGCTGGGAAACGAGCAACATGGGCCTGGTACAGGAATGGATTACGCAGATATATTTGGCGGAGAAATGTTTAATCTAAACATGTTCAGTAAGAAGTTGAGTGATGAAGAGATCAAGGAGATGGCAAGGGACATGTGTTCTGAAGTTGAGGAAACGTACGGTGAGGTTAGAGCCATTAAATGGAAAAACATTCTCCTAAAAACAAGGACCGGGACTGTGACAGAAATTCGAAGTGGGTGTAGTGCAGGTGCCATCAGCAGGCTTTTGAATTCCTTCGAAAAAATTATCAATGAAACCGAAACAGAAGTTGAACAGATTAAATCACAACATGGAGCCTGTCAAGCTAATTTGAAGAGCAAGGTAAACCAATTAAATACTACAGAGATACAACTCAACAGAATCGAAGAAGGGATGCAGATATGTCAAAAGAATTTAGAGAACAGAACAAACCTGCTCAATGAAACATATGTTGAACTTGAGCAAATCAAAGAAGAGACGGAAACCTGCAGAAGAGATCTAGGGAACAAAACACAGCAACTGAATGCCACCGAGACACAAAAGCAGACGATAATCGAAGAACTGGACACGGTGACCCAGGAACTCAACCGTACTACTACAGCTCTGAACCAGACTCAAGTAGAGTTCCAACACGTCAAAGGTCTACTGGGAGAGTCTGCCAATGCTACCATGGATTGTCTCCTAAATATGACCATAACTAACCACTGGGATCTGCTACAGTCGGAGGAGTTTTTTGAAGCAGTGATCACCGGCAACAAACTTGAAGTTCTACGCAAGAGCATGCAAACCTTGGTAATTTTGTTAATGTGATAAAATAATCATTTAAAGTTTAGTTCTACCAATGTTTAATTGTCCATTATTTCATTAATTTCTTCAATATGGGTCCTTAAATAATAGGTATAATTGAACTTTTATCATGTCTGTATTATATAATCATCGTGAAAAATATTTCAGAATTCACTGAAGGGATCAAAATAACGGATGGAATGATAAGGTTCACAAACAGTTCAACGACGGCGAAGATCAGTGTTCTAAACTAACACAACTCAGGTACATTCGCAGTAACAACTTGTTTGTAAATTATTGAAGAATTCGTATGATCTTAGAATTTTGTTACTGTAATTTTCGTTAACATATAAAATTTCATTTAAATTAGTTAGAAGGATGATATATAATCATTTCAGGGTGCGAAAAGAGGGCCGAAGTAGTTAGATACGGGTAACACAGACGAAGAGAGCAATTTAGCTCTAAGACGACGTTTGAGAAGCTGACGAAGCTGAGATTTTTCAGACACGAACTTTTCAATCAAATTAAATGAAACTTAAATTCCATAACTCCATTAGCCAAAGAGATTTTTGATTTAACGGTTTCGGAAGTATTATCTTATTATGATTATAATATATTTGTTTTTTAATTTACCTGCACTGAAGAGTGATGATATATAAAATATTTACAAAGTTTGGTATCAGTTTACGCTGTACAGGAAAAAATGTCTCGGGTCTTATTTTGTTCAGTTAATATTCTGAATATTTTGTTAACTTTTTTAGTTCGAATTTTTCGATTCACGGTTGTTACATTAACGAGAGTGCTTTGAATTTGTATCATTCTTAGACACTTTTGGATTGTTTGAATAATTCTTCAAGTAAACGGACTTACACTCGTAATTACGTCGACCAATATAATATGAATTGTGAAATATGAAATAATATGAATTGTGAAATTGATCAATTACCTATAACTTTGTTTGAAATATCCTTTCTTATCTTACTTATCTTACTTTGTCCAATAATAAAACTATCATGATAAAACATTTATTCATCTGAAATAGCTAGGCAATATCTGAATATCTGCTACAGTACATCAAATTATCTTATTTCTAAACGTATAACAACTAAAACATTACACCTACCAAGTAACCAATTATAACCACGTCGTTATTTCTATTAAAAACTAGATTAACTTATGTAAGGAATACTGATAAGTATTGTCATACGTTTTATGACCCGCCGCGCACGAGTGCGCGGCTCCCCCTGTATCGTCACTATAGTGAAACGACCGTGGGGGTCACGACGTGATACAAGATAAGTACTGACCAGTTCTAGAGTTGATATCGAATACAGGTGGTAAGTTTCCTCCAGATATTGTGTAATCTAGTTCTCCATTCACTCCAGAATCCTCATCTTCACATTCAAGCCTGAAAGGATTAGATTTGTAATACCTATCAAATATAAAGGATTGAAATAATTAAATAAATAAATTAAATAATTAAATAAATTAAGCACTGCATGCAGCGGTAAAGAAGTTCATCACAATGGGTTAGCACAGATTAAGTAACGATGGGGAGGCGCTGTGAGCTTGTTTTGACACAGGAATTGGTTGAGGCTACCAGCTGATCAGTTAAAATCAGTCACGGGTTAAATCATGCACCACCAGCCACCTCCCCACGTTTATCGTTGAAGGACTAGTAGACATGGGCGCCACCGTAAAACTCATAGGCGGCGTGGGTTATTTCACAGCGACGGCGGCGTATGACCGGCGGCGCCCATGTCTGAGGGCTTGTAGTTACCTGAAGAAAACAGTTCCAGTTTCCACTAATTCTGACAGGTCTACACTGTACGCTAGCTGTGTGAATACTGGAGAGTTGTCGTTCTCATCTTCTACCTGGCAGATTTATTAACTGATTAGTAATTAACTGGTTAGTTAATCTGTAGGCTAATTAATTGAATGGTAGCGGTAAAATCAATCGATGATTTTTAATAATGAGTGATATTTTGGTAACTTCTCATAAAATATTGGTTGATTGCTCATTTTCAGTTAAAGGGAGCCATGAACTCACCTTGATAATATAAGTGCACTCTGAAGCGAGCTGTACGTTCCTGCCACTGTCACTGACTTCAACTACCAGGGTCACTTCAGGGGTCTCTTCCCTGTCAACTGGGGCTAGGACCGTTATCTCTCCAGTTGTGGAGTTTATTGTGAATATTTCCTGATGTGATAGCAGCCTGGGGAGATGGGTGTTTAGTTAATTACTTCAAATTGATATGTTAATGAGCTTCTAATTTATAGATTGGTATGTTACGGAGTTTTCCCTCAAAATCTCGAATAACGAGTTAGACTCGAGTTATTCGAGTCTACTACACTGGAAAATAAAAAAGCAAACGAATATTTAAAGTACCTGAAAGACAGCTGAGCGTTTTCCTCCGTATCATAATCAGTAGCATTAACTGTAAGAACGGAGGTACCTTCTACTGAGTTCTCTGGAACTGAACCGGAAACGGGAGGTAGACAGATCGGGGCGTTGTCGTTTATATCTTGTACTGTTATTATGACCTGTGAATAAGTGGGTAAAAAGGCGAGCTAACATTCACAATCGTCTTTGTGACGTGTAAATTGTGGTTGTAGATATTTAATGAATCCATCAATCCCGTCAGACAAATGCAATTAATACAATAAATCAGCACAAAAGTATTCCCAGTATAAAGTATCCTTACGTAATAACTTGCTAATTGAGCAATTAACAAATTAGCTGAGATTTACCTGAACGAAAGCGGCTAATCCTCCCTTATCAGTAGCAGATACTTGTATATCGTAACTATCAGTTTCTTCACGGTTCAAGGACGAACTGAGATTGGGGTTAGTTAGGTTTTCGAACAGAAAACAAGTTAATTTAATGATACAGCGACTGATTTGGACTAATTTCGACTACGGCAAATCGGCGATGATTGTTTCTCCTCTTTATTATTCAACCTCAAATCATTCAAATCAACGTTAGTATATCAAATTTGCTGGTATTCAAGGACTTGGTAATGATTTTTCGTAGTCAAAATTAGCCGTCACATCACCCCGGCAACAAATAAATTGAAATCAAAACCTTCAAGATAAGAGCCCCATTAATTCAAAAAACTGATAGAATAGGTTTTTTAACACAAGAAAATATTTTATTCAGAACCTGACGGAAAACCAGCCCTCTATTGGGTCGATACTGAAGGGGACATCATCAGTAATATCCGGGTATATTATCTTGTATCTGATTGCTTGGTCCGAGCCTGTATCTCCATCGGTTGCAGCTGTGGGGCAAGATGTTTGATATGTGGTTGATATGGGAAATACCTTTATACCTTGTAAAGTGTAGACCTAGAAAAATGATGTAACGAGAATTATTAATTAATTACTAATTATTAAGTAGAATCACTAACCTAGCTACTCAATTATGATAGTGTAAAATTAACAAAATTGTGACCTGTTTTGTCAAGGACGTACATAATTTATTCAGATCAGAGCGAGCATTCATTTCATTTTAATGACTGCATGCGTCATCAACAAACTAATCGACCTTATCCGATGTATTGTTACATTGACTAATTGGTAAAATTGGCAATTTAATAAATGAAAAGAACGAGAAAAAATTAAATGATTAATGTTTTAATTTCTATAATCAAGCGAGCAACACGTCATACAATAGCCAATGCTAAAATTACAGAAGCAATAGGCATTATAGATCTTTCGAACTGGGTCCGCAAGGATGCCTAGAATTATTTAAAAGTTCTGTTATCAATGAAACTGTTCAATGAAATTTTTTAAATGCAAAAATCAATCTTAGAGAAACGTAGTTTAAAAAAACTATCTTTGAACATGAACGGAATTGATATAGCAATGGTAGTATCTGATGGCTTGATGTAAATAAATCTGTCAATATAAGACACTAACTAAATGAGTAATTTGATAACCAATTATTTAAATAATAACTAACTGATTTGAACGAGATCTGTTCCCGGCTTGATATCTTCTCTGATAGTAATAGGATACTCGGTATTACCAAACTGGGGCGTGTGATCGTTAACATCTTCCAGTTTTATCACCAACTCTGCTTCGTCAAAAAACTTGCCTGGAAAATAAAAACAGATTACCGTGTAGGCTCACCTTGAGAGGAAAATAGAAATCAGAGCTAAGAGAACAAAATAACGGACAGCTCGATTTAAGTTACGACAGATTCTTTTAGACTTCAGTTAAATATCGTATTACTCCAGTAGCAGGGGGGTGTTGAGTGTGCACTTCGATGTATAGAGTTTTTTGCTATTGAATCGGGTTAAATAGGTCATTGGTAACTCAAATCACCGAGGGGGGAATTTTGTGTCGCTAGCCCCAACCCTGTGGAGCCACGCCCATATTTCATATCAGGTGCGTATATGGGAAATATGTATCTCAGCTTCTGAAGGTCTTAGAGACTCAAATTTGAGTTTAAAATGACCGCAATGCACATGTTTATATTAGTACTATGAAGGTCATGAAAGCCCAAAATGCTTATTTTTGGAAAAAATTCAGAAAAACCGATATTCACTTGAGCGTGAGTAAAAAAATCTACTCTAGAAATTTAGTGAAAATCGAGTAAGCAGTTCAGTGTCTACAAGATTTCTAAACACAGGGTCCTCTGTTAGGTCATTCTGAATTAGAATTGATAAAGTAAGCAAATTCTATAAGTAGTTTCAACCCTGTGGAGCCACGCCCATATTTCATATCAGGTGCGTATATGGGAAATATGTATCTCAGCTTCTGAAGGTCTTAGAGACTCAAACTTGAGTTTAAAATGACCGCAATGACCATGTTTATGTTAGTACTATGAAGGTCATGAAAGCCCAAAATGCTTATTTTTGGAAAAAATTCAGAAAAACTGATTTTCACAAGCAAAAAATCTACTCTAGAAGTTAAGTGAAATCGAGTGTAAAGTTCAGTGTCTACAACGTTTCTAAACATAGGATCCTTTGTAAGATCATTCTGAATCAGAATTGATTAGGTATGCAAATTCTATTAGTAGTTTTAACCCTAGGGTGCAAAACTCCTAAATTACCCCCAGGCGCAAATATATGACTTTTCTATCTCGGCTTCTGAACGTTGTAGGGGCCTCTCTTTGAGCTCAAACTAACTACAATGGCCACATTTATATACCGACTATAAAGCACAAAGCAACTTAGGGTCTATACAGCTTAGTTTTTAGAAATTCATTAAAAACTTTTTTAACCTTCATGCATCATCCCTAGTCTCTACCCAGCTACCACCAGTGCGTTATGATTTTAGATCTTTCTAGCAACCTCTGATATGAATGCTACCTCTTCCTCTATCCAGCTACTATACCACCAATTCCAGCTGTTTTCACCTACTTCGGCTACTATCTCTTTAGCTACCACCAAGGTTCCTCCAACTTCTGCTATTTCTAGCAATCTTAGCTTAGGTTAGTGGACTACTTCTTGCCCTATCTAGCAACCATCAGAAAAATGTCCTCTTCCTTAATGAGCTGGAAATTGTTGGATGCAGCGGAGGTAGCACTCATATCAGAGGTTATAAGATCTAAAATTATAACGTATGGTGGTAGCTGGGTAGAGTTGACCTGGAGTTAGCAGAAGGCAGCTAGAAGTAGATTCTGCTACATGAGGTTGGATTCAAGTTGATTAGCCATAAAAGCCGAGCAGTACTGGAGAGAGCCCCAGAGAGGGAGCTGAAGGCAGCCTTCTGAAACTGAGTATTTTCGCAGTTATACCAAAATTAAAGTTAGGTGGTATGTGCTGCTCCATAAATGTTATCCTAATGTGTTTATGTTGAACGTTTTACTGTGCTGCAAATATCTTTTTAGCCCGAGATATCATTATTAAGTACATGTTTGATCATATTACTATTTTATGATGCATGAAGGTTAAAACAGTCTTTAATGAATTTCTATAAACTAAGCTATATAGACCCTATGTTGCTTTATAGTCGGTATATAAATGTGGCCATTGTAGTTAGTTTGAGCTCAAAGAGAGGCCCCTACAACGTTCAGAAACCGAGATAGAAAAGTCATATATTTGCGCCTGGGGGTAATTTAGGAGTTTTGCACCCTAGGGTTAAAACTACTAATAGAATTTGCATACCTTATCAATTCTGATTCAGAATGATCTTACAAAGGATCCTATGTTTAGAAACGTTGTAGACACTGAACTTCACACTCGATTTCACTTAACTTCTAGAGTAGATTTTTTGCTTGTGAAAATCAGTTTTTCTGAATTTTTTCCAAAAATAAGCATTTTGGGCTTTCATGACCTTCATAGTACTAATATAAACATGTGTATTACGGTCATTTTAAACTCAAATTTGAGTCTCTAAGACCTTCAGAAGCTGAGATGCATATTTCCCATATACGCACCTGATATGAAATATGGGCGTGGCTCCACAGGGTTGAAACTACTTATAGAATTTGCTTACTTTATCAATTCTAATTCAGAATGACCTAACAGAGGACCCTGTGTTTAGAAATCTTGTAGACACTGAACTGCTTACTCGATTTTCACTAAATTTCTAGAGTAGATTTTTTTACTCACGCTCAAGTGAAAATCGGTTTTTCTGAATTTTTTCCAAAAATAAGCATTTTGGGCTTTCATGACCTTCATAGTACTAATATAAACATGTGTATTACGGTCATTTTAAACTCAAGTTTGAGTCTCTAAGACCTTCAGAAGCTGAGATACATATTTCCCATATACGCACCTGATATGAAATATGGGCGTGGCTCCACAGGGTTGGGGCTAGCGACACAAAATTCCCCCCTCGGTGATTTGAGTTACCAATGACCTATTTAACCCGATTCAATAGCAAAAAACTCTATACATCGAAGTGCACACTCAACACCTCCCTGCTACTGGAGTATATAGGCTACTTTTATGTATTGGAAAATACAGAAACTGTGTTTTATCAAATCGAGTTAAAACACAACTTGGATATTTTTTGAAAACCCACCATCAGTAGCTTGTACTCTGATACGGTATTCTTGTTGAGTTTCGTAATCAAGTTCAGTGTTAACACGGACTATTCCGGTGCCAGGGTCCAAAGTAAACTCTGTTGTGTCACCTGAAATAGACAGATTTCAAACACAAGGATACAATTTCTAACACAATTTTGGAGGAGGCTTTGGGAGATTTGATAAGGTTTGACTAACCACTCCATTCGTCATAACTTCAATGATATAATATTTTCTTTGCAGGTGGGTGAGATTTAATTCAGAAGTACTACAGAATACATGTTTGTTGAAACACAAGGAAATATAATTCTTACCGCTGATAAAAGCGTAAGAGACAGCAGCGTTTTGATCCTCGTCTTGATCGAGACTAGTTAGAGTAGTGACCAGGTCCCCAACTCTAGCATCCTCACCCACATACACCTCCATAACCGGACTACGGAACACTGGCTTACAGTCGTTTACATCCAACACGCTCACCTGTAACGGGGCTCTGTTGAAACACAAGGAAAGTTTTGCACGTAGAAGATAATCATAAAAGTTAACTGTGCGAAACGAAAACTTCTTTAAGTATAACAAACGTGAGAACGTACGAGAGATAAAGGATTTGTCCAGAGGAAAGAATAAATTGAGGTCCTACCTCGACTCTAGTCCCTGAGTATTGGGGGACTGCTCCCTTGTCCGTCGCTACCACGAAAAACAAATAAGAGCTCTTTTTCTCCCGATCTAGCGGACTGCCGGAATAAATGTGTCCTGAAACACAAGGATATATTTTAAGTCTTCAAATCAATGAATCTGAATGTTGGTTGCTGATGTAATAAAATTTACCATTTTCTGATCAACCCATCTCTCTTACCTAACACACTATCGATCCGGAAGCCGTCTCTATCACCACTACCAAAGCTGTAGGTTATTTCCCCGTTTACTCCGGAATCTTGGTCCGTAGCAGTCACAGTCGTTATGTAGCTTCCGGACGGGACGTTTTCTAGCACCTGAATGTTAGGTACGTTCAGTAACAAAAAATCATTTCATTGTCTCTTATTTTAAATTAAATTTTGATTAATCATTAAATTATATATGTATATAATTGTAAAGATTAATCATTTACCGAAGCTTCGTATTTGGTCTGACTGAAAACCGGCACATTGTCGTTAACGTCGTCCAGGGCTACCATAACCTGAACATCATCATTATTGTTAAGCGTGCAAATTGGATATGCGTAAAAATGTCCATATTAAATTATCTGTTGTGTAATGGGTATTGTACAGACTATTTGGAAAGTTTTCAGGTATAGTACGAGTCTATGATTCTCTTCGTCGCTGTGTCTTAGGAGTTTCTCATATGACGAATCATAAACCCCCGACTCCCCATAAACCCCCGACTCCCCACTGCAACAAAGCAAATACCTCTGCGTAGTCCTCGTAAGATGGAAGTTGGGTTGTCCGTACTTTAATTAGGAGGTGGTAAACTGGCGTGTCACCGTCGTAGTCCAACATACAGTATCTATTGGGATCACCTGATCCTGCGATTTATTGGCGTTTAAAATCTGTAGAGTTTTTATTTTAATTTGGCACCTGGGTTCGAACAGAACTTTCTTTGTAAAGCGATTTCAGCAGCGAACTTTTGGTTACAACAAACTGCACTAAAATACTACCTGTGGAGTGTGGACCAGATAACTGAATTTTGGAACTTTATAGTTGATCTTGAGGAATGAGATAAATTGGATTGAAACATCAAAAGAATATTGATCTCAATCGTGTACAAACAAAAAATTTCCTGTGTTTCACCTACCAGAGGTTGGATCAATATCGAAACATCTGGGACTGTTCTGGGCGGGAGTAGAACCCTGGATGATAGAGTATTGAAGAGGAGAGTAGGGGAGTGCTTTTACTTTGATTACTTGTCTGCCGGATCGCCTGAAATTAGGGGATTCTTTAATCATCTAATTAATTAATTAATAGCGCGAGTGAGAAAGTTAATGGTAGGTCAAAAGAAAAGGAAACGTGAAGGAAAAAAAACTATTCCAATCACCCACTTACCCCAGTTCAGCGATCCTAGCACTGTAACTCCTCTGAACAAATCTAGGGGGAGCTGCCCCCGGTATAGTGGTGTTTTGAACAAACACCGTCACTGTGACGTTTGATGCTAGAGGCTGGGTTCCTCTGTCATGCGCTTCTATTACGAAGGAGTAAGCCGCCTGAACAAAGTGAGTTTAGCTTTGTTGAAAGGGAAAACGATCAACATGGATTGAAAGCTAGGTTTGCCACGAGGGACGCTAAAATTGTACACAAACTAAAGCAGAAAAAAACCTTTTCGTGAAGACTGTTGGTGATGGCGATCTCCCCCGAATCATCATCCACATTGAAATTGTTGCTATCACCACCCTCAACAACACTGTAAGATATTTGTCCGAATATCCCCGAGTCTGCATCTACAGCGAGTACTGTTCCTATATCCGAACCTGGTAGGAGATTGTCTTGTTATTCAACAGTCAGATTCTTGGAGACCAGGTTTTATTTTGAACTGTGATTAAAATAAAGATAAAGATTTTGATGCTGTTCTTGTCCCTATTTCTATAATTTACTTCTTCCAACAAACAGAAAAACAAACAAACCAACCTATAGGGGTCCTGTCCAGAACGCTAATTAAATATTCGTCTCGTACAAAAGTTGGGTATTCGTCATTCGCATCCTCAACATTCAGTATTACCTATTAAATGTTTTAGCTCAGCTTTTAGTTTGTTCATTGTTTTAATTTAGCTGAAATTACTGGAGCATAGAGTAAAATATTTGTGAGTTTGGGAGGGTCTGACGTTGTTGACCAACAAATTCCTCCTCCCACATTTCTGCTGTTATGCAGATACTAAACTGGTGTCACCAGCAACATAAGCCTCACAAACCCCCAGTTTCCTCCTTGAGCAACTAACCTCAGTAACAGCTCGCTCGTAACTATCACTCTCAGCTAATACTGAGATACGTATCACTCTGCTCTCCTCGTAGTTTAGTGTTGATACCAGGTTAATAGTGCCGGTTGAGGGGTTTATCTCAAACCTGCTGCTTCCTGAAAGTGAAAATAAGGGTTTTTGGTATCTTGATTTAATTCGTTTACATGGTCTGGTAGTTGGTGGAATCTGAACAAGATAAGAATCTAATCGATTAACCAATTAACTAATTATTTACCGAATGAGTTTCTGATAAGAGAATAAGTAACAGTTCTCGTGTAGTCCTCGCTGTAAGAAGCAGATACAACCATAATGTGAGCTCCACTGGGCATATCTTCAGGATAAGAATCCTCGTATCTGTAAAAACAACATATCATGTTTTTGTGAACTATATCATTGTTTTGATAATAAGGCATAACGTGTTGAAACCTCGTAGATACTCCTATTATAATAGCACAATTCAGCTTTTCGCGGCAATTCTATAGTAAGTTAGAGTCATTTGGTAATAAAGGCTAAAGTCATTGGGTTATGATTAAAAAACTTACGGATTCTGATCGAACTGAAGACGCTGCGAGCTCTGTCTCTTATTTCTGATCTCCGTTGGATAGCTAGATTTTACCGAACAAGGTCCATCACCTTTTAAATCGATAACCAAGCATGGACAATCTTCGTGCCGCTGAAAACAAAAAGGTCACGTGACGAAATTTTTCCGCGCAATGAAACTAAATGCGAGCCATGAAAACTGGACAATAAAATATTCACCGCGCGCTCCGTAAAAATGTGGCAATTTAAAAAATGTACGCCCTTTTCCGAATTTTCTCCGGATTTCACGATTACATCACATCGTGAATCATCACGTCATATGTATCAGATTTTAGACACCACGCAATAGCTACTTCACGGAGACAAAAACGTGAGCCGAATTGAACTAAAAAGATCAAAGGCCCCTCACAAGCTGTGAAGAGTTAGGGTCAAAGAAAATGTTAACTTCTTATTTCCTCGTTGTTTAAGACGTAACCCTTTTATTTTAACCCTAACCTTTATACAAGCGTTTGTTGCTAATTATCGTTCATTACCGAACGTCAGAAGGTAAGCCTTTACCCAGCATCCCAGAATATTTTAGGTAGGGCTGCCGCTAAAGTCTGTCTCGCATTTAAAATTCTTCGTACTTTCTTGTTAGGGATTCAAATGCCTTGACAACAGCGGCCTAATTCACGCGACGAAGCCTCAAAATCTCTTAAAGTTGAGAATATGCCACAGTAGCAACGTGCTTAGTAGCACTTTGAATTTCAAAACGTAAAAACCAACCCATACATGTACAACCTGAAAACTTACCTTCAGAAAATGCGGAGTATTCTTGTAGCCAATCACTTGCAGGCTTTTAGAATCTCTGAAAAAGTAATAAAATCAGATTCCAACACTTGAAAATATCTCACCAACAATTGTGGAAGTTTTAAATATGGGTTCAAAAAGTGAAATTAATTTGATGATCTAAGGAATTGGATAAGATCATATTAATATTATGTCAAAATCTAAGTTTTCATACTTTAATGTTGAACTTGTACGTCATGTGCATATGCCTTTTAAGAGTTGTATTTTGTTTGGTTTATTCTCAATGTTATCACCAAATTTGGTATATCAATCCATTGAGAGAATGTTTCGGTTAAAATCATCATCTTTCTAATTATCAAAGACACCATAAAAATATTTGATCTTCATAGTTCCTATCATAATCAGCCACTAATGATGTAAAATAATCGTAACTGCTAAATCGATGAATATCTGGTTTAAGGTTACATACTAATCCTAGGAGACACAACAGACTATTCATGAATAACCAGACGCAAAGTAAGGTCATTGAATACACTAAGATTAAAAGTTACATTATCTTAATTAATTATGTGCATATCTAAATGATCAATAGAACCGATAACAACTCTAGAGATAATCTCAAAAAGACATTACAAAAAAAAACATTACAAAAACACACAGAGATAAGTGACTCCTACCTTCTTAGGGTATCACTGACACTGATTTGTATACCATTTTCGATCCTCTGCACAGAAACGTCCTCCTGAAATTCATCTTCGTAAACAAATTAATTTCACGCGATTTAATCAAATAAACATTAGATATTTTAATCGAATATTAGGTCTGTGTGTTGAGTTTTCAATCACTAGCGAAGAGTTAAAAATAGTGGGAATTTAAAAATAGCGGCTAAGTTTCAAAAAGAAGTTGTAATTGGACACGATATTCGATAATAGGAATTGTGGACCGAAGGGCGGGTATTTGACATGATATCTTGGGAAAAAGTTTCGAAATCATGACCCAGTCCTGTGCTTCATCGTCATAGTTTGTTTTGTCAAACGATTGGGGCAAAATCAAGCGGCTGATGGGTTCTAGGGCAGGATTTAATGTTATTATTATTATAGAAGTTAATAATCTTAAATGTAATTTGTGCGAAGTGATAACCGCAGTATGATGAACTCTTAATTCAGATTAAAGTCTACTCGGAAAATTGAAAGATACATGTGACATATTCCTAATGCTTCAAGCTCTCTATTTTAACTAAAGAATTTTGATTTGGATTACAGAATCTATATTAAATGATTGGGCGTTCGGATCTAGACTTGAAAACAATGACCTAGGCTAGAAACACTCGTGTTTAACTGGTAAATTATAGTACTACAGTGATAGGACGTAGAAAATTGAAATTTAACTATAGGTAAACTATGTTTCTACGTGAAGTTCTGCGAGATTCGTTGAAAAATCTCGCCTATTGCGTTTGTATCGCGTGAATACAACTAAATTATTCACCGTGTTATGATCCACTATTATAATTTCATTACTGGGGAATAATGAAAATATTGTCTGAAACTTTCTGCTTTTGAAACTACAACCGCGGAGTGAAAGATCATTACCTAATATGGGTATCACGTGGTTACTTTACAAAGACCACAAGCCTGAAGCGTCGCTCATCAATAATAAACATTGAAATTTAATTGTAATTTGATTCAATCTATTTCTCGGTGCAGTAGCCGCTATTTTATCACATACCAGTTTATTAAGTAATGTCTATATTTGGGCAAGTTCACTGTTATTTCGATGGGTAAGGTGGTTAATGACGGACTGTAATTGTTACACTTCCTTATCATTCAGCATCTGTCATACAATGACAAATGTGAACAGCAAAATAACAAATTTCGGGGAAAGTCCTGTGAGATACCGTACTTGTAACGCTAAAAAACTTTGCGGAATCCGCTGCTTCACAACAAGTGTAATATTATAACAGAAATTAGATCAGACTTGATTTTGGCACGGAAAAGACTGTAACTCGGACTCCAAATTTATAAGATACGGGATATTACGTGATGTGAGCCTTGGGGTTTCCTTTTACCCTCAGATTCATTGTTCATTCATTCATGAACAGACAATGAACTCCAGCCCCGTAATCAAATGAAACCTGCTAACGATCTCCAAGTAACCGCGAAGATTTCATCCTGTCTAGATCCTGGCATTATAATCACAGTGTGGATAATTATATGCATATTACGATTCACACCGCATGTATCATTACATCAGGTTAGTCTAGTGACTAGTATGTTTACAATTACTGAGGGGTGTATAATTTTACATCTAGGTATATATTGTAATCTAATTAAAGATTGTACTAAATCCGAACATTACATGATCGTGATCGTTGAAGCTTACCGAGATATTAGCACTCTAAAGTTACACCTTAGGTTTTGAAGTAAGCCGTAAGATTTCAGACAAAACCCCAAATTCGTAACCACCAAATAGTGTGATATCTAACCACTGCTTAGACAAAAGCCTACATTCTGAGTCTGGTATCTAAACACTATCCCGCTGAGCTTTGCAGCACAGAAAGTTACACCAAAGAATGCTGTTCAGACAAGAATTGAATGTTGTTCAGACAATAGGGCCCGTATGTAAATCTTTGTTTGAAATATTTTGTAACCTTGATTACATCATGAATAATGCTACTTGTGAAATGATTGGAACCCCCTACCCTCAACGTTTACATCCTAAACATTTACACCATCATTGTCTGTATTTACAGTACTAAGTACACAAGGTTTATCATAACGTGAAGTATTATATGAGGTTAAACATTACGTAATCTCACTGTTGACAAGCCTAATCACATATTAATTTGAAGCTCCTAGTTCAAGCCAGGATTACCGGTGTTCCGGCCGAATCCACTCCTACAGTCGAGTATTTAATTCAGATTCGGTGTAAATATTGGTTTTTAGTGTAGTGTTTGATAATAGGCTCAGTGGAGATGTGAGCCAGTAGCTACATGGCTTTACATCTAAATAAGCCATAATGGGTTTAACGTGGCACGAATATAATATATATTATATACACCAGGGTTCAGTTAGGAGGTTAGGTATCAAGGATTTGTTTGTAGATGATAGATCAAGAACTCGGTGTCAGTTTTCACCATTTCAATCACCCCAGTCAGTACCCACATAACTAACTTGCTCTCTTGTAATAATAAAGTTGTAATAAGGAGATCAGATCACATGGGTGTTGTCATGTCACCCTGTTTGTACTTCGTACGGTGAATTAGAACGTAAACGGTGTCAGTTTTCATATTATTACAAGGGCCGGAAGAGAGGGGGAAGGTGTCTTGGGAATTGTTATTAAAGATTACCTGATTTGGAGCCAAATTTAAATTCCCCTCGTTCTATGAATTTTTCTAATAAAATATGCTTTCAAAAAGCTATTTTCAGAACAATGATTATCATCGATAATATGCATGCGATTCATCAATTTATACACACAGTGCCTTAAACACGTCATATTATACGACAAAATTCATCTGTGTTCGGCCACAGACATATAGCCCTGATTTTATATGGGTACATGAGCTGCTGCGGTTATGTATTTGGAAATAAAACCCGACAGTGTTATGATGTCCATTGGGATTATAATGACATTCATGACAATACAGTATTGTCTAAGAAAGTGAAATTCTGAGTTTATCGCAGTGTAGCTGTGCTCGTCAACAGATGTTAGCAAACGATATTCCTGGTGTATTATGTGCTGTAAGAACCATCTGCTGAGAGCAATGGTGACTGCCATTATGCATGCTTAACCCAGGTACCCCAGGTTAATACTCAGTCATAATGCTAACATATTTTGTTGTCATAAAATATCAGTAATAACGAACTTGTAATGCCACTTGGTAATCTTACTAGGGCCTTACTATCATCAGTAATTCCGAGGATTACTAATCCTGAGTCACTGCTCAATACTGGAGCTCCGAGCATCTAGTCTTAATGTAAGACTATAAAATATTTGCGATATGCAGGTTTGAAACGTTATATACAAGCTTGGTTTGGCAAATGGAGAACAATAGACTTGTTGTACACACACATTTAATCATCTTTATAACGTATGTGTTACAATATAATTATAATTACTCGTGTAGGTAAGCTGCTTGCTTTAACTGCAAAACGTTCTATAGCGACTTGTTCTTATGTACAGTGTACACAACTACAGAACTGTTGTTTACAGGTCACATTTTACATATTTCACGTGTTTTACATATTTCACGTGTTTTAACCGCCAGGAAAATACTATTTCAGACTCTTCAAGTGGGGAATTGCTTCCTGTTTCTAAACTACCAGACACAGAACGTAAACTTTACTTAACTATTACTGTAACTTTTCTTAACTGTTAAATGTTTTTTAAAGGAGAACTTGGTTATTTTAACTTGGTATTTCAACTTGAACTCTGTTTTAGTTATTAAAACCTTGAACACAAAACTCTAATGTATCATGTCAGTCTAATGTCTCTCATGTCATCTCTCATAAACTAAGCTTGAATTTCGGAAATTTTAGGGGTTTATTAGATCAAGACAGTTCCCCTCCATGAACACCATTTCGCAGCACTACATCACGAGTATCCCACGTGCACACATAGTGTCGCTACCTAGTAAGATGATACAGTAAAACTAACTGTAAGAGATTCAGGCTAGCTATTATTATAGCAGTGACGTAACGAAACAGCGCTACTGCAGCACAAAGCACCCGATACACATGTAATTAAAGGTAGTTTCAAGAACAGTGACGTCACCAGTAACCCTTTCTAGCGGAAACTTGTTGAAGGGTTTAACAAAACATGATCTCAGAGCGTGCGGTGAAGAAAGTGAGCCGCGCAGTAAACCGTGTTAATCTGCTACTAATTAAACTCTCGTGTTATAAATAAATAAATAAATTCTATTATTCATTTACAACATACAGGGTAGCCCAGAAGTAACTGCCCATACGCAACCCTTTAATAACTCACGTAATTCTTCTTAGAATTGCACAGAAATTTCAGAGATTTTAGATATGGGTCAAACTTAGATTTACTATGGTGTTATTGGTGCAGATCTGGTATGTTTAAAAGCTTCAATATGGTAAATAATGGACTGTAAAGTTCTGGAACATGCGGTAATATGCGGTAATGTGCGGTAATGTGTTACTTTCATACTTACTTAGTGAGTGATTTTAGTAAAAGGTTAATGTTGTCCGGAGGGCATTAATGTAATGTGTTTAATACGACGAGCAGGTCTCAAAGTCGAGCCGTATTCATTACTATTTTTACACTATCTTGTGTCTAATTATTAACTGTTGATATTTTGATTAGATGTCATTGTTATTAATGTTATGCATAATTATTAAGAGCCTTACTGTCTCTCAGAAAGTTCTGGAACATAAAAAGCCAGTCTAAACGTCGCAGCTAGAAGATTATGTGTGCACTAGGTTAGGAGAGATCATGTATACATTTCGTGTACATCTTTTGTACATGTGACCAACGTAAATCATGCATGATTGACATTTCATCGTACTCGAATGACATGTGTTATGTTTTAACATTTCTCGCAAGATCCACAGACCACATCTAAATATTCGAAACTCTGCTCGGCTGGTTTTTAACAAGGACCTTCTTGGAATGGGAACAAAATATTTGTTTAAAAAATTCCAAACATTTAATTATAACAAATCAAACCCCAATATACCAACATACCAGGAAATGTTAAATAAACAGATATTTAACTGTTATTCAACGTACCGTTAGGAGCGTTGTTCCGGAGTCTGTAACCACTTTAGTCACGTAGTGAACATTAGGATCAGGTGCTGTTCCTGTTGTTAACACTAGATCTTTATCCAGTGAGTCCAACCTGGAAATATCAGTATAGTAAAAACTATTCAATTCGTGCTAAATTACTGAAAATCAGCATTTAAATTATTCAAAGTTAATCATATTAAATAAATACTGTAACTACTATTACCGGCTCATACTGTCAAAGAAATACCGATGCGTAATTGGAAAGTGATGTGTGGTGAACTAAGAGCATGATAGTGACAAGCAATGACAATTATATAGGTTATTAAAGATCTGTGATTTTAGTACTGGCCCATTTGTTGACATTTAATCTAATAATACTCCTTAGTCCTTAGTTTCAATTTGCTGACTTGGGTTTCTTCCAACAAATGCAAACAGTTTAAATAAATATAAACAACATAGTTTAATATGTAAGTCCGCTTGTTAAAAACAACCAGCGGTTATACATCTTCCATCGTCGATTAGACAAAGGCCACTCAAGTACCTCTACACAATTTTAATAATTTATTAAATCTAATACGGCCATTCACGTCTAAACAGGCCTTACAGCGAATGTAAAGAAATGTTAGATTACTTTTGTGTGATCGATCTTATCAAATCCACAAACACATTAAGTCACGTAACCAAGGTGTGATTTGCACATAACCAAGGTGTGATTTGCACATGAATAATTAATATTTGGGAGGTTACCAAGCCACATTTATAATCATAAGTTGAGCACTGAGTACTGAGAAGTATATAACTATAGTTCTTCACACTGCAATTCAATACAGCGTCACGTGTTATTGTACTAGCGTACTAAAGCTTATTAGTACTAAAGCGTATTAGCGTACTAAAGCTTATTAGCGTACTAAAGCGTATTAGCGTACTAAAGCTTATTAGCGTACTTGAGCGTATTGGCGTACTTGAGCGTACTTGAGTAGGATCGAAGGTGCACGATAATGACATATCATTATTTTTTGTTGGTGTTAGTGGTGTAGTTAAAATGCACAAATTACGCTCAATTATGTTCAATTAGTACTATCTATGATCAAATAATGCTCAATTATGAGTTCTTAAATTTTGTGATTTTTGTAATATCTGTTTCTAATCATGTGACAGTGATTAACCAATCAGCTTTCAGCATCGACCTATCAAATGTCATTAATATCAAAACACACGTGCACCACCTCCCCCACATAACCCACATCAACTGTTATTCATTACTTCTTAACTTCATTGTTTACGTGTAACGACAATGCCAGCTCTCGGATATTCATTATTCATAAAAGAACATAAAAACATTGCATGATCTTGAAGATACAGCTATTTGCAACCCTAGTAAGTCTTGTAACTCTCGTAAAGTAATTGTAAGTCTTGTTATTCGTAAATATGATGAAAGGAAAACTCTCAACCTTTCAATGAAGACTTAAATCTTTTTGACGTTTCAACCCACAAATTTACACTCCAACGCGGTGTTGAAATATATATAATAGAATGAGTTGAGATTGGTAAAGTTTATGTTCATCCTGAAAATTAGAGCTGATTACTCCTAGCTTCTACTGGAGTTGACTGAGTGCTGTGTGTACTAAGCACGAGTGTTCAGCAACCTATTCGAAACTATACACCTAGATCACTGTGAGAAAACACTCCTGATTGGTTTGTTTTAAGCCACGTGATCTACATGAAGGTCACGTGATCACTATGAGGTGATCAGATTGGCTGGTAGCCGGTTTACGGTACTGCAGTTTAACCCCCCTGGGACACGACAAGCAGAGCTACTGATCTGACCCCCAGTGGACTCTGCATTCTCTGCTCTTATTGGTTCGTTTTAGTCACGTGGTACAAATAATGTACGCTGATTGGTTGGTTTGGGTGACGTGGTGGTGGTTCCGTATGCTGATTGGTTATGCCCCACTTGGAGCTAAACGTTTTCTACACAGGTTCATCAATTATTACCAACTTAAACTTAAATCCATAAAGCAGACAGTAATTAGTAATCAGATAAATACATATCAATTAATGATTTATAACACATAATCACAATTTAATGATTTTGACGTGAATGAAAGACCCGTCTAATGCCAATGATGAGAAAGTGGGTTAATTTCGTTCCAAAATGGAATATTAGAAACCTTAATGCCATGTACCATTAGTCTAGTTTATCACTTCAGCTTCTAGGCTTAACCTTACGCTACCTGCTGCACAACACGTAATATTAGACTAAGAATTCGTTAAAATACGCGGGGTTGACGCCAACACTACACAATATGTCAAACTAGCCAATCAGAGTTAAAACATGTTCAAGTTGGGGGAACTGAAGCAAGTTGGGGGAACTGAAGCAAGTTCCAGTTTTCTTCCGCACGTGGGGAGGCCGCGTGTGGAGGCGTTATGTGGGTCAAGATAAATCACAATTCTTCCGGGTTTTTAAGTTAACATCACGTTTATTTAGAATTATGAATATAATGGCTGTTCGTCATTTTATTTTAGTCATGTTCACTAAAATTGTAAATTTTATTCATTTCTATTTCTCCTGTCAAATATTTGGCACAGCCGTGTCAAGGAGCTAAAGTTAACTGTATTCCAAGTTTGTTACATTCAGGTTACGAATCTTTAACCTGTAGTCCGAGACGAAAGGGAAACTCGTTAGCTTTTTGTGTTAAAAGCGATTTCTCGACGGTTATCACCTCTCTAGATGATGCTTAAAACATTTTGACTCTATTGCATTTTTGTACTAAATGCAATACGGGCGTTTTCGGCCACACCCTTTTTCAGGGTTTCGCGGTCACTCGAATTTTTGTATTTCAGCCCAGAAACGTCGTAGAGACTATTCCCATCCCTCCCATACACCAAAATGTGCCTAATAGCCATATTTATGTACAACTTACAAGGAATACAAGGAATACAAATTTCAAATCTTAAGTTATAACAGCAACTGTCAAGACAAATATAATAATATTATAACTCGCCCCTCTCCATAATGATAATACTAATATTCACAAATATAAATAGAATTTGACTATATTAAATCTTTTATTTGATAAACTTTGTTATTATATCGCCAGTTGCATAGGGTACCCTTGCTCGATGAGTGTAGCTTTGTAGGCAACGGTGCTCGAAGAGTAATGTTGAAAAATGTTGTAGATTTACGTTTATGGCGCGGAACGTTGGTTACGTGTTACGTCAAGAATCGACGTTTATTGACTCCAAGAACTTTTTACGGTTGTTGAAACAGTTGGTGATATACCTGGCGACAATAATTCTCGAAAGATGTATCTGGCACTCGTAACTCAGTAGGCCACTTTATAATTATTATTGACTTCGCTGCTTCGACCAATATTTGTCTCTAATCCCTGGATTGAGATCTGTTGGCCGCAATTGAATTTAACTCATAATTTACCATAATAGTAATACCGCAAAAAGAATATGGAATCATTCTGAAGTGATGAACCTGTGTAGAAAACGTTTAGCGCCAAGTGGGGCATAACCAATCAGCATACGGAACCACGTCACCCAAACCAACCAATCAGCCTACATTATTTGTACCACGTGACTAAAACGAACCAATAAGAGCAGAGAATGCAGAGTCCACTGGGGGTCAGATCAGTATCTCCCAGATTGAGATCTGTTGGCTGCAGTTAAACTTAAATTTAGCTAATTTCCTGTAAAACCGCAGTGGTTTGGTTCCCACTTCAGAATGACCCCATATTCTTTTTGCGGTATTACTACATTAGTCAGTGGCCGAATTATTTTAGGTCCGGTATTCTTAGTACATGTCATAGTTTCATGGAATGAATAAATTAAAAGGTGAATTTTTGTCATTATATTTTGGCTAAATTGGTGCCAATGAAAATTTGTTGGAGTTTTCATAAGTCATGCAGTAATGAAGAGTATGATTTGAGCACAACAAATGAAGAGTATGATTTGAGCACAACAAATGAAGAGTATGATTTGAGCACAACAAATGAAGAGTATGATTTGAGCACAACAAATGAAGAGTATGATTTGAGCACAACAAATGAAGAGTATGATTTGAGCACAACAAATGAAGAGTATGATTTGAGCACAACAAATGAAGAGTATGATTTGAGCACAACAAATGAAGAGTATGATTTGAGCACAACAAATGAAGAGTATGATTTGAGCACAACAAATGAAGAGTATGATTTGAGCACAACAAATGAAGAGTATGATTTGAGCACAACAAATGAAGAGTATGATTTGAGCACAACAAATGAAGAGTATGTTTTGAGCACAACAAATGAAGAGTATGATTTGAGCACAACAAATGAAGAGTATGATTTGAGCACAACAAATGAAGAGTATGATTTGAGCACAACAAATGAAGAGTATGATTTGAGCACAACAAATGAAGAGTATGATTTGAGCACAACAAATGAAGAGTATGATTTGAGCACAACAAATGAAGAGTATGATTTGAGCACAACAAATGAAGAGTATGATTTGAGCACAACAAATAGTGTGTAATCAGTGTAGCTTGTGTTGCAAATATCGAGCTCTCTTATCTTTTGTAAATTTGCAATAAGTTCAGTTTGCTGCTACCGTGTAGTTTACCTTTGCGTGTGTACTTGTACATTACTATACAAGTACACTATGGGGGATGACCCAACTTTGACCCGATCCCAGGAGTTGATTAAGGAGTTCAACTATGATCAACAGGAAGATGTGGAAGGCTGTGTTGCTCGCTGGTCCGATAAGTTAGAAAAAGACCTGCATATGGACTACCGTGAAATTGACTACGAAAGTCGTGAAAAGATCAAGACTAAGGATAAACAGACTCTGTCTGGCTGGATTGTGGATGCAGTGGACCTTGTTCGTCGGCAGAATAGTCAGATGTATCTCTTGAAGGAGATCATCGAGTGCTTCAAGACGGAAGCACTAGCAGACAAAGAAAAGGTGATCAGACTGCAGGGCCAGCTGCTGATGCAGAAGGACGAACAACTACAGTTGCTTAAGACGTCTGTTGAGGAGACAGTCCAAACAACGGTGGAGTCAGGGATTCAGAACTATAGTGCAGCTGTTCAACAGAACAGTGCAAGTGGTACGGTCTGCAAC